GTAAACAAATATGTTGTTATATTTGTATTTAATAACTTTATATAAAAAGCATGTGCATTGTGATATTATTTTCAAGAAATTGCAGGCTCTGATTAACAGCTTGTCCCTTTGTTTTATTGACAATACTAAAACCCGGATTTCGAATATCGTTGTGGTCTACATTGATGCTCATTCATTTATATATTTTCAAAACTTTCCTACAAGAAGAAAGTTCACCTGCAAATGTGTATTAGGATAGGTAATGGACTGTTGTAAACGATTATCCTATTGATTTTATCCATATTACGTTTATCTGTTGAACAGAATGGTTGTTTTTACAAAGTGTACCAGTATCCGGATGTTGACAGCTATCCGATTTTCTGCAATTACTGCTGTCACATGGCCATCTACTTTTTAGCTCGACTTTTCTATGAAAAGGGGAGCTATCCTACTCGCCCCGGCGTCGGCGTCGGCGTTGGCGTCACACCTTGGTTAAGTTTTTCGTACCACCCCACTTTATTTCAGAAGTATTACAAGTATGGCTTTGAAACTTACCATACTTGTTCACCATCATAACCTCCATCTACAGACAAGAGTACATAACTCTGTCAAGGTTTTTGACAGAATTATGGCCCTTTTTTGACTTAGAAAGTGTATTGAGCTTGGTTAAGTTTTTTGTACCACCTCACTTTATTTCAAAACCATTGGAGGTATTGCTTTGAAACTGACCATACTTGTTTACCATCACGACCTTCATCAACAGACAAGAGGACATAACTCTGTCAAGGTTTTTGACAGAATTATGCCCCTTTTTGACTTAGAAAATACATTGAATATGGGTAAAATCCACTTATTGCCTAACCCTTTGAGATATTGCTTTGAAACTTTTAATGCTATTTCACATCATTACCCCCATCTGTACGCAAGAGAAGGTAACTCTGTCAAGGATTTGTTTTAAAAATTAAGGCCTTTTATCGACTTAGAATCTTGGTTAAGTTTTTAGTACCAGTCCACTTTTTGACTGAACTGTTTGAGATATTAATTTGAAAGTTGGAATACTTGTTTACAATCATGATTCCCAAACATGTCCAGGAGAAGGTAATTCTGTCAAAGATTTTATTTGAATTATGGCCCTTAACTGTCAATGTTTTGTATTATAGGCAAGCAGTGTTCAAGGGTATCACACAATTCAGTAAAATAATTCTTCACTAAATATCTTAATGCTCATGGCCATTGTTCACTTTAAAAATACAGAGATTCTTGTATTGCCTTTTACTGCAAAAACTTTTTTTATTGGCAAGCAATAAAAAAGTCGAGCGCGCTGTCTTACGGACAGCTCTTGTTTATGAATACTTTACCATTAATTTGCATGGCATAATTAAAATGAGCCTGCAACATTTCTTAATTTTGGATGTTTAGGGTGTTCTTTTGGGTTTCATGTTTTCTTTATTTCAAGGGGAAGTAACTCATGTTTACTAAATTATTAATTTTGTTCTTTTCTGTCTATCTTAGGTATTACTTACAATTTTTGTTTTATAAAATGTACCAGTTGTAAGGTCATCAAAAGCATAGAGGCCCTGATGAGTGAATATTGATATATATATACTTTTACTGGCTTTATATACCCAATATTTCATATTTATTTAATAGAAACTTGGAATTATTAATGTTATGTGCATACATTTATATCTTAGTATATTGGTATGATGAGACTTAAAATATTTCTGAATTTAAAGAGTTGCAGTTACATGTATATCATTATTATTAAAGGGATGAGACTTTCATTTAAAGTTATAAATGATAATACATGTATTGATTGAAAATGTCCTGAAACTTGGATCAAGCAATTTAATTGATAAAGCCTCAAAAAATCATGTTCTGAATAGTTATTCTAATTTTTTTCTAACATGTGCATAGTTTGAAAAGGACAGCTTCTGCCTTATCTATTTGTAATGGAGGGACACGGTCTCAATCTCCAGGTCTCCTGAGTCAACCCGACAACAGACTTTTCATAGAGTAGATTGATACTTGTCCTTGAATAAATTTGTACACTAAATTTTATAGTGGGTGATTTGTGCCACATGAAAACCAACAAAGTACAAAAAGTAACCGGGCGCCAGATGAAAACATGAAAATACAATCTACCACAAAGTGGTTCGTTTGTTGCATTTTCATGTTTTCGCCCGGTGCCCTTGATGTAAAATACAAATCAGCCTTCATAAAATTTCTTATCATAGATATTGTACATGTATTAGCACAGTTATATTCACTTTCAAATTGACCTGTTATAAATAATGGCACAACCAATAACTGTCTTAGCCCTTTTTAGTAAAAATAATTATACAATAATAATTATATAAATTGTTATTTTAATTAAGACTATGAGTATGTAAGGTTTTTTTTCTTATTTATTAATTAAGAATTAATTATCTGTTAATTTAAAAATCTAAATATCTGTCACGGTTTAGAACTGTTCACTATTTAGGGGAGAAAATGTGTAAGCGGCCAGATAGCTCAATCGCTACAGCCGCGGTACATTATTCTGTGGGTCACAGGTTTGAGTTCTGGTCAAGCTGAAAGTTTTTCTCATCCTGTTACTGCAAATAACCATTAGTTTAATTTACTATGCTCTGTAAACATCAGAAATTCAAGTACATGAATCAATATAGTGGGGAAAAAGGTTTAGGTTTAGAACTGTTTCATTATTAAAGAGAAAATGTGTAGCCGGCCGGATAGCTCAGTTGGTCTTCTGAAAGTCATGGGTTCGAGTCATGGTCAGGCAGTTTCAGTCAGGGTTTAGAAGTGGTTTTTCAACTGACACATGTTTGATTCATTTAATAGATTGCATTTAATTTGAAATGGACAAAGGCAGTATTGCGTGATACTTTTAAATCTACAAAAAGCATTTGGTACAGTTGATCACACTATACTGCACATGAAGAAGTTCTTTTTTCTTCTTCTTCATGGAACTTCAAGCATCTGCCATATGTAATGACATTCTTGCATGGTTCAAGTCTTATCTCTGATAGCAGCTGGTGAATGTGGCTGGTACTCCTTCTCTCTGAATACCTATGGTGTCCCCCTGATGTTCATTTTAGGTCCTCTTTTATGTCTAATATATGTCAATGACATGTCTGCAACCCTAAGCAATAAGCTTTTATTATATGCACAGGCACAAGTATCAGACCTGGGAAGAAAAAATATTACCAGATTGATAAAAAAACCTGTGTTCATCTTAAAAGTGTCACAAACCAAAAAAAAAATGTAAATGATGACCCCCTTTAAAAATATACTTAAAGTTAATAGTATATTTTTAAAGGGGGTCATTATTTACATTTTTTTTTTGGTTTTTGACACTTTTAAGATGAACACAGATTTTTTATTAATCTGGTCATATTTTTTCTTCCCAGGTGTGATACTTGTGCCTGTCATTATATGATGATGACTCAGGTATCCTTGTATCTGGTAAAGTAAATCTTAAGATTGGTTTATTGACTATAAATTGTCTTTGCATCTTGGCAAGACAGAGTCTATTCTTTTTGGTTTAAGTTTCAACATAAACTGGGCCAAGCCTCCAGGTCACATGAAATGGTACTGCTATAAAGTACACATCTTTTGTTAAGTATTTAGGTGCAAACCTGGATCAAATTCTTTTGGCGTCGCCCTTTGATGCTTTGCATCAATGCTTTTCTTGTTTTTTATTGTTGAAATATTATTAATTAACACTGTTATGAGAAATATTCTCTTTACCAGTAATTGGATATTTTTGTATATATATATATTATATTTGATTTTCATCATTACATTTATTACCAAATCAAGTTAAAATATGACTCATCATTGTGAAGTGTTATATTGATCAAATCAACGATTTCTTTATAACCAAGCCTACATAATTGATTTCCAAAAAAAGGAAAAAAAATAAATTTGTTATCGATAATCAAATTCCATTTAAACTGCATCATGAAAGAATTTATATGTTATATTAAACCTAATATAAATACATTTTAAGAAATTTGTATGATTCATCGTAATACCATATATTTACATTGTTTAAGATATAATATACTTGTGTCAAGTTATTGTTAATGCTTTATCAATTGTTTATATGCTTTTCTTATCAGACAAACAGTTTCAACTTTTCCAATTTGTTTGTTGATAAACACTTGATTACAAATATCTCAATGTATGAGTGTTTATTCTGGAACATGTTCAACTATTTACACCAGCTCTATAAAAGCATGACAATGGTGCTCGATTAATAAGTTCCTTAATTTCGATATTTCAATTTCCTTCCTTTTCATATTATAGCACCATGGGTCTATTAATTCAGTCGAAAGGGAGCAACTTGAAGTAGGCAAAGATTTTTATTTTTCCAAATCATGATATATTTATTGCATATCTGAGTTAATAGGTGTGATAAGGAAATATTACTTGGTTAATGTTTCAAATGTACATGTAGGGCTTTTATAGAAATCAAGCGGGACTCTTTGAAAATGTTTTATGGAAGGTTGTTAACATATTCCAGGAATTATGTTCTACTTAACAATTAAGAACTTATTATTGTTGCGATAGAACTAAAACAAAAATCACAATTTAGGGAGAAAAAGATGAAGAAATAAAAAAGAATAAAAACTATATTTTTTGTAAAAAAATGTAAAAAGATTGGAAAATATATGAAAAGGAGAAAAGGGAAAAATTTGAAGCTATATTGTAAGGAAATGATAAAATTTGAAGATCTGAAAAAAGAAGGGAAAACGGAATAACTGAAAAAAGAAGGGAAAACGGAATATTTTGAACATGTTTAAAAAAACAAAAAAACTTTGAAATAAATGGTAAAGAAATGCTTCCATCAACTGACTCACTGTACTATTTAAGGAAGGCTTTAAAATGTTACAGGTTTTAAATACAAATAATGAATTTATTTTATACTTTGATGGTGCTAACATTTGTTACATTGAATTTACATAGGCATTAATTAATGAAATAATTTAACAATTATTTTATACATGTATTTTCAGGCTAGAGTCACTGATGGGATTGGACCGGAGTCATATAGAGGACGAGACATTGAGACACTCGTGCTGGTATCAAGCTGGAATACCCAGGTACAAACTCTTTAAGTCATTTCATAATCTCCTATGCTTTTCAGATATGTAGGGCATAATTATGTACTTTTAGCCAGTTTTTAATGTCATTAATCAACAACCTTCAGAATTTTCATACCCCTACTAAATCATGGAGGGCATATATTTTGCCACTGTCCATCCGTCCGTCAGTCATGTTGTCCATCTGTAGACTGACAAACTGTGAAATGTAGGAGGCATAAAGCCATACTTGTCCTGGGGACACATTTCAAGTTGTAATTGATTTGCCCATCTTTAAATTTTTGCACCTTTTATGAACTATACTGGGTTAAGGTCACTGATGCTAAAAATAGATTTTCTTACTTATGTCATAGGCTATGCTTTTAGCTAAATTAAAAAAATGTTATAATAGCAACATCCTGGATATTCTAGTTTTAAGACTGTTTTTAAACTTAGAATTCTACTGCTAGATTTAATAAAGGTTTTGCAGTTGGAAGGCTATCAGTTAATAAAAATTAGCTAGGAATAACACTGAGATTTCACTTTGAAAGTGTCATATCAAACAGAATTTGTTGAATTTATAGAGTCAATTAATTTTGATATCTGAAGTGGATAGTTAAATACATGTAAATAAATATGGCCAGTTATCTCTGTAGAGGCACTGGGAGAGGTGAATTCGGATATCCAGTCATTCTTTTGCAGTTTTTTCTTTTTGATAGTTTGAAAATAAAAACGAGGTTTATTGGTCTCTTTGTTATGATGTTATTTATGACAGGACATCAGCCATCAGCCATTACCTAGTGCAGTGATGGGTTAAGTCCTTCTAAATTTAATAGGAATTAACCAGTTGTTGCACTAAGGTGACGATTTGAAGCCATTAGGAAGGAAGTAGCTCTTACAAATTTAATATTGTTGAAATTAATAATATAGCAACATTTGTAAGATTGTTACTACTCCACTGATATGTTACTGAAAGTTGTTTTGCTAAAAGTCAGCATGACCTTATAACCTGTTGAAATTTTTGTAATGGTTTGATGAATTTAGAACTGTCCATCTAAAAGTTATAAACAAAGATTTTGATATTAAAAAGGTACAAAAATTGACATTACTAACAGTATAGGGCCTGGTCAGATTGCAAGGTTTGTGGATATTGGTACACCTCAGACAGGGTTTGCTGAGACTTCTGTAGTTGAAGTTAGAGAGTTTCATATTATGTCTATCATAAAAAACAAAAGATCAGTGGCTGTATAACTATAGATAAGTCTCATACTGTCTTTTATTGTGTCTTTATTCTTTCTTCATAATAACAAGAACTATTGAATTTCGTTTTAGGCATCATCCAGGCTTTAATCAAGAAATATATTATTTTCTTGTGAATAATTGATTATCTTGTACTTGGATATGACTAAAAATCTATCTGTTACTAATAAACAAAGAGATAAAATAAGGAAGGGGAAGTTTTTAATTAAAGTAATTGAGTACAAACTATATGGCAGGGCTTTACTGTCAGAATCAAGAGGGGATTTCTGGGGCTTTAGCCTTTTATAGAGTTGAATAAGACTGATGTTGCCTGCTTTAACTTAAAATCTTGGTCATAGCCATAAGCCAGTGCTAAATTACTGTAATGGACCGGTCCTGCTTTGAATCTGGATCTGTCCATTGTATTTTTTAGGGATTTCAGCATGAAAATATTGTTTAAAAAATATCAGCCAATCAGTAAGTACCTAGTCTGCAGTTACAGTGGCAGAAACGACTCCTAGTGTTTGACAATGGGCAACTCGAAAGTTAAAAAGGGAACATGCTGTTATATAGTCCAGTAATTACAATGTAATAATAAATAACTTTGTTTAATTGCTTTTTATATAAATTGTATTTTTTTTTCATCAAAATAAACAAATATTTTTATGTTTGCAGGGATGTGGCTTTAGAAATCTTACAACAGGAAGATATTGGGTCTTTCATCGTGCGGGATAGTTCTACACATCCAGGTTGCTACGCGCTGTCTGTACGTGTGCCAAAATTTGAAAATCCAACCGGAATCTCACATTATCTAATACTTAAAACAGCAAGAGGTGTAAAATTAAAGGTAATTGTTTGAATATAAAATAAATTAGAAAAGATCTGAGATATTAACTAACTTTATAAGGATTTCACTGTAAATCATTTATCGGGTAGTTATTGAAACCTATGTACAAAAAAGTGTTCAACACATGTCAAAACAAAGTCTGATTTATATACATTATCTTGTGTATTTGAAATGTGTTGTGTTAGAAACCTATTCAGCTAGTTTTGATGGCTGGTGGATGGTTCTACTCAAATACCATGGTTGTCCTGAAATAGTTGCCAGAAATAATGACCAAAAGGGCTTCTCATGAACTGAGATGCCATGGTTGGCCTCAAATAATGACTGAGTGGGCTTCTACCAGTGGGTCTACTGCCACCAGTAAAGTTTGAAACTCTTCATAATAACATCAATAATGTTTTTATGGCTAAAAACCAGACCCTTTACGTAATGTTTAGATATACTTATATAAAATGTTCAGCACTTATAATGATTTATTTCAGGGCTTGGATAAGGAATGGTCTAGTCTGTTTTCTCTAGTCACTCACCATACAGTAATGCCAGAAATGCTGCCGTGTACATTACGCCTGCCGCGTGACACCAACAACCCGTCATTTAAACCTTCTGACAAAGATGAGAAGGAAGAAGATCCGGATTACCAGAGGCTTGCAGATTTCTCATCCATGATGGAAGCTTTAAAGCAGTGAAAAAACAATCATAATCGTGCAGAGGCTTGCATCTTTGGGCTTTAAAACTGAAATTCTAATCTAAGTCATTGAGAGCTTTAAGACAGTGAAATACCGATTATATTCACTACAACCTTTGACAGTGTAAAAGGTAATTTCAGTAACTCGTGAATTATTGAAGATACAGATTTACGAGTGAGATGATAAATTTCTGGCGCAAAAAAGTATCTCATTAAGCACTTAGGACTTGAAAGTTACAGCTTTCTGGCAGTGAGACAATAATATGATATATCACTGAATTCCATTAGATAGGAGCAGAAAAATATTTAAGGTGACATCTAGATTTGTCATTGTGATATACAAAAACAAGCCTGGAACCGGTATATTAATACTTCAAGCGTTTGAAATTTTAGCACCGTAAGACGGGAAACCAATTTCTCTGAATTGTTTTGAGAAACACTGGAGAGATAATGTATCGCATCACAAGTCAAGAGAGTTTGACATATATCTGATAGTATAACATGCTGATACAAAAACTGTGATTGATGTCGAGATTTCTTCAAATTTTGCGATAACAAAAGTTAAGAGTTTTTTTAAAACCCATTTTCTACAAATTTTGCGTAAAATAATAAGATTGTACCCTCTAAGGATTGGAGACAGTGTTGTATTAAATAAATAAGCAAGAAAATATTTAAGGTTAACATATTTTGGTTTAATGGTGATATCATTTTGTCAAACGCCCCGAAGGATTTTTTTAACAAATTATTTCTTTCGAGATATTAGGCAGATGCATTTATAAAATCTCAGCACAGACTCTCTGAAATGAAGATTCATTTTGATGGGAAAGTGTGAATCTCGTTTCTAATTAATGATCATATAGAAACGAGTACCTCCGGGGCTGATTCTCTGTCTTGCTGATGTCAGCATTTTGTCAGCATGTTATTAAGATCATTGTAATAGGTGTTTTCTCTGGAGGATATACTTGTATAAATAGCTGTTAATAACATAGCTCAAGAAATTAATATAAAGCATTCGAAATTGACGTTTTTTGTAAGTTTTTGTGATAGCTGGTATACTTAAAGGATCATGCTTTCAGAATTGTGGTAATTTATATGACAATTTCAAAAAAGTATTGTCAATTAATGGAAATAAAAAATATTGTAGTAAGCCATCATTTAATTAAAACATGTGAAATGTTACATAGATTATTAACATTTGAATTTTTTTAAACTCAAAATACATTTTTCCAAAAGTTTGATGTTTCAAACTGTGTTTTTTTTTTACTGGAAGTCTGGAAGTGTGCAACTTTAGGTACTGATTTTTCCAGTTTAATTTAAAGGGAGGTAATAAATGTTAATTTTTTGAAGAAGGTTTTTCACTAATGGAAGCTGGAAAAAAAATGATGTTGTAAACTGTTGTACAGTGTTATCATTGAAAATCATATCATTTGATGTCAAATTAGCTTAAAGCTGAATGGTACCATGCCATGCACACATCATTGTCATTTTTGTATTTCCTGTCACATGGCATCCTGTACCTAGATATTTGATTTTGTTCGTAGCATTTAGAGAACATCATTTTGTAGATGCAATTTTCTGTATAATTTGTCTTTCATGCGCACAATACTATACCAGGACTGGTGTTTACCTGGCAAACGGAACTGCCTTAAAGAAATACAACTTTGTTAAAGGGGAATAATCTAAGAAGCCTTCTGAATTGAAACTATAGTTTGTTTCAAAAAAAAAGTACAAGTGCTCTTTGAATTCTATAGTTTTCTTCAAATAAGTGGATTTTGACATTCTTAAAGAATGATGTGCAATGGGGAAATTCTTAAGGATTTTCAAGAAATTGTCAACAGTTGACAAAAAGAGATTGTGATAAAGACGCCATTTTCTTAAACAAGAAAGGCTGGTGATTGAAGTATCAGGGACACATTTATAAAACATGTGATGATGAATATATTGTCTGTTTCAAAGTTACAGAGCAAGTATAGTTTGGTTCAAAGATATGTGATATAGAAAAAAAAGTAAAACCATATATATGAAAGAAAACATTGTGAGGTTGACTGCCTATTTTACAGGTACCGTAATTATGATTTTGAGAAACCAACTACAAATTGGTTTATTGTATTTAACAAATGTGCTATTTGAACAGTGTCAAGGGTTTTCAAATTTGGAATTGGAAACCAGTTAAAACCAGTCTCCAGCACTTGATCTGGAATTCTGGATGTTTTAACTGTTTCCAATTACTGTTTTTAAAACCATGGCAAAGTAAATTGTTTATGTTTTGATATTTTGTACTGGTATTTATTCTCTTTCATGTTGTGAAGAATTGTCCTTCATGTTGTGAAGGATTGTCCTTCATGTTGTGAAAGATTGTCCTTCATTTTGTGAAAGATTGTCCTTCATGTTGTGAAAGATTGTCCTTCATGTTATGAAGTATTGTCCTTCATGTTGTGAAAGATTGTCCTTCATGTTGTGAAAGATTGTCTTCCATGATGTTAAGGATTGTCCTTCATGTTGTCAAGGAAAGCAATTAATATAATGTTAAGATAGTCTGTGAATATTGGAAAAAAATGCAGTTAAAGGGAGAAAACTCTAATTTGAAATAAATGTTGTCTTGAAGAGTTACACTTCTTAAGATGGAATATGACTCAGTGAAGATAAAATGAGATCATAAAAGGGGTGTTTAAAATTGTGTATTTGATGAATTTTGATGTGTAGAAATAAATTAAAGTTAAGTATTGTTTTACTAAATGGTTAAGGAATGAGTTATAGATGCTGTAGAGTTATCTCTCTTGAATTGTAGTGGAGTCGTGTAGAATTACACTTTAATTATCTAGTCATTTGTTCACTTGTTGAAATAACAAATGTTGCAATTTCATGTTTCATGTTATTTATTTTTTTCCAGAAAACTAATAATTATTTTGCAAAGTTTTACAAGGGAGGGTAGGGGAGATAATTAATGAGTTTCTTTTTCAATAGCTGAAAAGGGAGGTAATAAATGACAAGAAATAGTTAAAAAAGGTAGGGAATAGTTAAAAGATATAGTTGAAGTTGGAAGTAATTGAATATAAGATTTTGTTAAGAAGGGAGGTAATTATTTAAAGAAATATGATTATGTTAATTATTTGAAAATTAAAATAAAACAAAAGTTTATCTATTCATATATTGAAATTGAAAGTTGTTACACTTGGGTGAGGGGGGGGGGGGGGGGTTAAGGTAGTGGTTAAGGGTGGGGCTGGGGACTGTTACAGGGTTGTGTTGTTTTTTGTATGAAGTTCAATACTTTTGAACACATTTAAGCATAATCAGCAAATTTAAGCAAAATAGTGATTTTTTACCAAAAATGAACATATTTTAACCATGTCTGTGACACAAAGAGTTTCTGAATTCCATATATTGTTATCAATGTTGTATGCTATGTACATGTATTTTTCATGGTTTATAAATGCTGAATATTTCTTAGGCCTATCCCTATGTAGAGATAATCACTTGTAAATTTTGGCTGTTAATTCATTCTACATTACAATATGTATTGATTGTTTATAGCTCATCTGTCTACAAGAAATACATTATGATCGCTGCAGTGTTGTCGTCGTGCAAAATTTTTATTGTAGCCCATTATTCAAACATTCTAAAAGATCATCGTGAAACTTGGAATACTTGCTTATCATTACAAGGTGCAGTTGTTAGACAAGGGGCATAATTCTGAAAGCAATAGTTTTTGAGTTATGCCCCTTTTTAACTAAAAATTTTTAATAGACGAGCATTAACACCCACTATGGTATTCTTGTCTTATTCAATAAAAGTGCCAATTATTTTTTGCAGGTATACATAACGTATTGTGTCAATTCACTAGTAAAATTTGCATAAGATTTACTAAATATCCCAGGTTTTATTTAATCGTTTATCACACAGCGTAAATAATAATAATAATAAATTAAAAACATATTTGTTTGAAATATAAAGTTCTTTATCAAGATATCTGATATGAACTGACTTTTTAGCTCGACTTTTCTATGAAAAGGGGAGCTATCCTACTCGCCCCGGCGTCGGCGTCGGCGTTGGCGTCACACCTTGGTTAAGTTTTTCGTACCACCCCACTTTATTTCAGAAGTATTACAAGTATGGCTTTGAAACTTACCATACTTGTTCACCATCATAACCTCCATCTACAGACAAGAGTACATAACTCTGTCAAGGTTTTTGACAGAATTATGGCCCTTTTTTGACTTAGAAAGTGTATTGAGCTTGGTTAAGTTTTTTGTACCACCTCACTTTATTTCAAAACCATTGGAGGTATTGCTTTGAAACTGACCATACTTGTTTACCATCACGACCTTCATCAACAGACAAGAGGACATAACTCTGTCAAGGTTTTTGACAGAATTATGCCCCTTTTTGACTTAGAAAATACATTGAATATGGGTAAAATCCACTTATTGCCTTAACCCTTTGAGATATTGCTTTGAAACTTTTAATGCTATTTCACATCATTACCCCCATCTGTACGCAAGAGAAGGTAACTCTGTCAAGGATTTGTTTTAAAAATTAAGGCCTTTTATCGACTTAGAATCTTGGTTAAGTTTTTAGTACCAGTCCACTTTTTGACTGAACTGTTTGAGATATTAATTTGAAAGTTGGAATACTTGTTTACAATCATGATTCCCAAACATGTCCAGGAGAAGGTAATTCTGTCAAAGATTTTATTTGAATTATGGCCCTTAACTGTCAATGTTTTGTATTATAGGCAAGCACTAAAAAACTTAAAAAATCTAAAAAAATTCATTCCTATCCACTTGTTCACTTTACCATAAATTATGTCATATAAACATTGCTGTAATATTCAAGGGTATCAAACAACTAGTTCACTTTAAAAATACAGAGATTCTTGTATTGCCTTTTACTGCAAAAACTTTTTTTATTGGCAAGCAATAAAAAAGTCGAGCGCGCTGTCTTACGGACAGCTCTTGTTAATGTTCCTTGTCATTAAAATTTTGCTGAAAGAAAAAATTAACATGAAGTAATTACTTAAATGGCAAATAAAAATAAAACATACTTCATCTATGTTAAATCAACATAATAACAAACTTTTTCAATGTTAATTCAACATATTACTAACTTTTATGTTAAATCATCATAAAGTATTTTATTTTATGTTAAATCAACATAATTACAAACTTCTTCAATGTTAATGCCACATATTACTAACTTATATGTGAAATCAACATAATTTTCTTTTATTTTAATTTAAAAAAGTAATGATAAACTTCTCCAATGTTAATTCAACATATTACTAACTTTTTCTATGTTAAATCAACATATATTATGTCAATGTTGATTCAATATGATATAAAATAAGGCCTAAGAAATGATGTTAACAAAACTTACACATGAAAGACTGTTGTTGATGCATGTAAATCCATTATAATATAATGTTTTATAAGTTATGTTTTTTTTTAAATATATTTCTTAGTTCATAGAACTATACATGTTACATTTTTGAACCCTGTGTTCTTGCCTTTTGTTAGTGAACAACAATACTGTGTTATAATACATGTTTGCAATTACTTTAAAATTCCTTTGTTAAGTATAGGAAGAAAAAAAGTATTGTAAATGCAGATTTTTTTCTACGTTTTAACACATTTAAAATATTTTGTAATCATAATTTTAAAGAACATTGTTTAGTTTTTAGAAAGGTCATCATCCTTCTGATTAAGTTTATTTTTAGATTTTGTTATTTTATCATTTTTATTTATTTAAAAAAAAATAAACTTAGTATATTTTTTTCATCAATTTCTATCTGACAGAGCAGATTTTAGTTTTGATACAATGGTTTTAGGGGGAATCTTGTGCTTTAGAATTTACTTTTAGGAACTTTGTGGTGAAAAGTGATTTTCATATATTTTCATTGGAATATTTTAATATATGCAACAATTTAAATCTAACATTTTGTTGACAGCTGTAAGAAACAGCTATTGAAGTTGTTTGTTTAGTTATTATACAGTTACTCTTTTCTTATTCAAGCAAAATGATTATTTTGTGAAGTGAGAACTAACTGTTCTTACACCCATAACAAATTTTTAAGCAACTATGAAACTTATAAGCGATTAGTACAGAACTATGACAGCCTGTGCAGTTAGTAAATCAAGGGTTTACTTCAAGACTGTTGTAAGTCCTTCTTTATTTTAATTAAGTTACTCCAGTTTTGCGATAATTCTTTAAATTCTGTAATATGATGGTCTGACCTATCTTTATACTTTCTATAACATTTTGATAATTATTTAAATCCCATTATCTCACAATGGATATTGCTTTTAAGTTGGTAACTCAAACTCAACTGTTACATAAATGTGAATTTATTAACACAGATTTACACATTTGAGCCGCATCACGACAAAACCACCATAGTGTGTTTGCGACCAGCATGGATCCAGACCAGCCTGCGCATCCGCGCAGTCTGATCAGGATCCATGCTGTTCGCTATCAGTTTCTATCCTTGTAATAGGGTTTGTAAGCGAACAGGATGGATCCTGATCAGACTGCGCGGATGCGCAGGCTGATCTGGATCCATGCTGGTCACAAACCCATTATGTTGGTTTTGTCGTGACGCGGCTCATTTAAAGAATTTTTTTCTTCTTCAAATTTTGTTATAACATGAACATGTTATTATATGTGTTTATAACTTATCAAGCAATGTTGATAAGGTGAGATTCTATATATGTTTTCTATACGCCTTCATAGACTTTGGTTGTTATCATTGTTAACATTGTAGATTTTAGTTGTTTGTATGTTTCTTGCCCTTGAAAATTCAGTAAAATTCATCAAAGCATACATTTGTTTGTCTTGTATTTCAATTATATGTATACATTGTATTGTATGAAAAGTTAATTACTTGTTGTGTTGCTGTATGTTTAATCATTGGTTCAAACATATTTATTTAAGCTGGATTGCAAATCAAGTTCTTGCAACTTATATTAATCACTTTCGAGTAAAAATCATGTGTTTAATCATTGGTTACCTGTAATTTGTTATGAAGCTATGACCCCCGTGGTCTGTCCTTTATCATGAAGATGACTCCCGTGGTATGTCTTTTATCATAAAGATATGGCCCCCGTGGTCTGTCCTTTGTCATGAAGTTTTGGCCCCAGTGGTCTGTCTTTTACCATGTTACCATGAAGATGTGGCCCCCGTGGTCTGTCCTTTATCAGGAAGATGTGGCCCGTGGTCTGTCCTTTATCAGGAAGATGTGGCCCCGTAATCTGTTCTTTATTAGGAAGATGTAGCCCCGTGGTTTGTTCTTTATCAGGAATTTGTGGCCCCGTGTTAAGGGTGTTTATTTCTTATCGCTTGTCCCTCACACAATTAGCTCGAATCCCGTTAGGGACTTTGAATATTTTTACGCGAGGAAGCTATCCTGCAGCTAGCTTATGGAAGGTCAGTGGTTCTACTCAGGTGTCAGCTTTTCCCTGACATAATACACGGAGGGGCATCTGAGGTCTTCGTCCACCAATAAAGCTGGAAAGACCAAATAACCGTAACAGTCTTTTTAATTATACAAGAACTGAATAAATAAATTAAAACTTTTAAGAAATGCCACCATCAAACCATGTATGTACATGCAGTACACTTTTCTCAGAAATTCTTTGATCAAGTTAAGATATTTAGTCAAAGGCACATCAAACATCAGAAAATAATACGACTTTTCTTCTGAACAAAATGGCAAACTTGTGTTTTATAATGATTTTTGTTATAGATTTAGAGCATGATAGGAATGTGAAAATGTTGACGTAAAATAAGTTGTCATGCAAGACGTAGAACAAAGTGGCATTATGTATTCTACACATAACATTAAACACAATTAATGATTTTACTCACGTGGTTGCAAGGCTCTCATATATTGCCAATGGGTACCTTTAAACATACAGAAATAATAAAAATAAACCCATTTCAGCATTTCTCTATACTTCAAAAGCCTTTATGGTAAATAGAGAAATGACCTCTCCTTTCAGAAGTCGTTCAAATTACTAGGGTACTTGCAAATGAACATTTAAGCAACTGCATTTTTTTCATAATTCGCTTACAGAAAGAAACAATGAGTCCCAGTGATACGCTTATGCTAGAACAGGACACATGATAGAAAGTAGTTGACTATGCTTGATTTGCTATAAATAGAATCACACAATATACATGTATATGTATTATAACTATAAATATGAGCATTCAGGCGAAATAAATATCACATGAGTCAAAAATGGAGGGTAATAATTTACTTGTTCATTTGTTTAACATCTTTTCGTTAGCACATTCTTTTACGAACTTTGGAAATGTCGGATTTGCTGACCGTGCTTTTGTGTCTGTGTGGAACTCGCCTTCTGCAGTCTGCGAGAGAAAGTTTGGTGTTGAGTTGGATTTATCATATTTTGATATTGTGGCGAACCAGAACGACACTTTCATTGGAGACGAAATCGTGATTTTCTACGGAAGCCGATTAGGACTATATCCGAAGATTGGCGCAGATGGAACATTTATCAATGGAGGCTTGCCACAGGTTTACAACTGTTTATTTCTCTCACTTATGGTGTTTAAAGTAAAAATAGCGAAAATGATAATCCAAATAGTTAAGTACTTTCCTTATGTGAGCTTGAACACTCGAGAATTGTTCCGCTACATAAATCGTGAGCTCGGTTCAAGTGCCTGAATTTTGACATGATTAAGTTGATACGAGAAATTTTCACTTGCTCTTGATCCATTTCCATCCGGTATAGTATATATTCAATAACCATTGTTTATAAAAACATGTATAAAAGGTTTTACATTTTCTTTTAATTTGTTTGGTAAGTTAAAGTCTTATTTACCTTTAAAGTATATGTTTAAGAGGCTATATTCATGAATGCTGAATTTCTTCTTAGTATGATAAAAAAAAAACTAGGTTGTATATCTGGCATTGTACACATTCAAAAAATAAATGTAAGAAATATGTGTTTGCAAACCCCTTTTCAGATTACATGTATTTCTGAAGATTATTGCTATTTATACTTATCTGTCGATGGAACAATGATCTAAATTCCTAATGGTACAGTGTCTTTCAAATTTATTTTATTTTAAAGACCCTGGAAGGGAGAAATCTAGGGAGAAGTCTAAACCCCGTATATAGGGCCCCTTTAGTCAGTCATGTTCCGCTTTTAATTTTAGCTAGCAAACATCACAGCTCACTTGTTAAAACTCGAACAAGATGTAGAGCACTACATGCCGAATGTAGGCTTCAATGGACTGGCTGTTATTGACTGGGAGTCATGGAGACCAATGTTTAGACGGGATTATTATAATACTGGCATGAGGAGGTACATCCGGGCATCCGAGGACCTCGTTCGCAACAAACATCCTGATTGGCCCAAGGACAAGATCCGGGAAGAGGCGCAAAAAGAATTTGAAACTGCTGCAAGGTTTTTTATTTGTTTCTGTAGAAGTTAATTTTGTTATTTTTCCTAAAGACATAAGTAAAATGTTCTTCATATTCGTCTTCCGAGTCCTTATCAACATCCACATTATATACATGTGTGGTTTTATATCTCAATAGTTATCTCCCCTTTGAACTCTCCTTAAAGGCACATTAAGCCTCAGAAATCTTTTTAAGTCAAAAGTGTGTTTAATAATGATTTAATAAAGGATTTAGAGCATGTTAGATGTTAAACAACTGAAGAAAGAGGCACTGAATCTGCAGTCATGAGTCATTAAGAAAGCAAAATGTAAACAAAGTAGCATTTTGATTTCCATAAAAAATATCAAATCACCTTAATCATAACCATTGTCAAAGAGTAAAATAAGTAAAAAGACAGTTCATTTGTATGGCTAATGGGTAACTGTTTAGAGACAAAAAATGTAAGTGTATGAGTACCTGCCATAAACCGACCAGATGGCTTTCTTTAAAGTCCTTGGTACAGCGTTGACGTGACGGCATTCGAACTGAATGATTCAAACCGCCGGGTAACGGATCCTCTCTGATAATTAAAGTATAAATTTGAATTAATTGGTCCTGAGATTTTCCATTGATTAAGATGAGATTTTCCATTGATTAAGATGAGATTTTTCCATTTTAAATTTGTGTTGATATATTATTTTGTAGAGAATTCATTGAATCTACCTTAGTGACATGTAGGAAATTGCGACCTCATGGTTACTGGGGCCTTTACCTGTTTCCCAATTGCTACAACCGAGCTGAGGGACAAATTCATTGTTCTAATGCAACAATACAAATGAATGACAAGTAGGTGTTTCTTTCCAATCTACATTGACTTGTTTGTAATTATTGGCGTCCGCGCCGAAGCGCGGCGCCTATTGGAATGAAATGAGATTTTGTGAAAGGGCGACAGCAACTTCTCGAGCCTTTTATAGTTGCCAATAATAAAAGCCGATCGGAATGATCGGTATGAGGGTGCTTGATTGTTAATTAGTCGCGATATGTACAATGAATGGCGAACTGGAGAATTTCGCAATGCAAACATTTTCAAATGAAATAACCTTTTCCGTCAATAAATCGCGCTCTTCGGGGTATTTTTGCTTATCATTTTGTAGTACACAGTGGGTTATTATGGTATGTTATTCCGAAAGCTGTTAATAGAATGATGAGTTGATGACCTTAATATTCCGAAAATCTATTTATAGAGGGATGTACACCTAGGTAATTCCCGGTCTCTCCCGGGATTTACTAATGACCGGCGAATAGTACAACACGTTTATTGTCCGGTCTCTCCCGGTTTTGGAGTAGATATCGTTACAGAACAGAACAAATATTTTACAGATAAATAAGCTTTTTTTTCAAAATGAATGTTTGTCACTTAGTTTGGTTACAATAATTAATAAACACAGATCAACTCTCGAATTGATTGATTATTATTATACATAAACATACAATTCGAAAATAAAAAACCAACAACACAAATCGCATGTTATATTTTATCTATATGAGATAAAAACAATAAATATGTACAATAATTGAGAAAAAATGTACATTTTTATGGCATTAATATGACACTATCAACTTTAAAACATTTTATATAATTTGTTATTCGTGTTTAGTAAAGATTCCGAGGAATTATTCAAAGTTACAAATCAGATTTTATGAATTATTCAATTGATTGATAATTTAAAAAATGATAAAGAAAAATACAAATGTACATGTATATGGTTTAAGAATAAACAATATTATAAATTGAAAGATTAACCATGATTTACTGACTTTTTCCAGTTAAGTTTTGACTTATAATCGTCGATCATTATGACAATTGAATTCTTAAAATAGTAGTAAACGTAAAAACTCAGTATTAAAATAGCGCATAAAACACACACAAAAAAAGAAAAGAAAACAATATTCATAAAATCTGTATTTTTTTTTATTAAAATAGAAATTACATTTATTGTATAATAAACAATTATGCTCAACATGATCAACATGGTAATATAACAAGTGTCATATTGTTACTTAGTGTGAACAGATACCTTAAGATACCTCGTTAATAGCAATAACATAATAAGGGACAATTACACAAGTATGGTGTTGATCATGCGTTTCACATATGGATTATAAATGATTGTATACATGTATATCCGTTGCTATTAATAACCACGATCATAAAGAAATAACAAGTAATATTCTAATTTCTAGCATGCCGATCAAAGTTATAAATAATGAACAATGTCTTTCGTCCGATCATTCAAAAGTGATATACAATTCTGGTAAAACCCAATGAACCATTGAAAAGTTTATGAGAATATCTTGTCATCATATATCTACTAGTTCATCTGCACCTGCTGTTTGGACGCCCTTTGATGCTTTGCATCAATGCTTTTCTTGTTAAGATATTTGTTTTGTACTGGATCATGCCACATGTAACAAAGGATTTTTTCAAAGCTGTGGCGCATGCGCTATCCGAATTTTAACAGAAAGACCCGGGAAATGCGATTGTCAAATTACATTTAGATATAGCAATTTTATATGTCTGTTTTCTTAAATGCATTATACAACAATAGCATTATTCGTTATCAGTTTCTTCAGATACAGTACGCTCAGCGCGACTTTTTCAAAACCCGCGTGACCCCGCGGATGAGGTTTACCGCGGACGAAAATTTGCTCAGATATTGTCCGCGTGACCCCGCGGACAGAAAATTTTCACCACCGCGGACATAAATCGGCGGCTGAAACCGTTTCCCCGCGGAACGCAGTGGTAAATTGCGGAGGAACGCGGCGGTCAAACACCGGTCAACGCGGTGGAAACCTTAAATTTTAAAAATTAATTACTGTATTTAAACATCAGTATACGTACGTACATGTACTGTAACATGTACTGTACATATACATGTAACTATATGTAAAATTTGTTTGTTTTCTTTCTTTTTTGTTGTAATAAAAGTACATGTACAAATGCAGTGTTTTTGTTCTTGTTCTTCTTCTTGTTATTGTGTTGGGTAATGTATAATATGTATTCGACATCAAGATAAATCATTGTCGTCGCAACTTCATGGTAGTGAGAAACTTGAAGTCAAATAATGAAAAATTCGGCATATGACACTTATGAAAAAGATGCTACAACAATTTATATGCCAGCTTTTGTTTCTTATTTAAAAACTTTGAAAACGTAACCCTCAACAATTTTATTCAGGCAATATTCCAGGACGTCTCTTTCAATTGTCAGATGCGTTTTACTGTTCCTGTTTATTTGCATGTTGATCATAAAGTCTTATATTTTATTTCGAACATTAAAAGAAAGCGTTTATTTCACCAAAATATACATTAAATGATATTTTGATTTATCTAATTACAGGTGTGAGCGTAATGTATATGTTTTGAAGTTTGTATCAACTGTTGAAGTTTATTTTCATTTTTGTTTTAGTAGTGTGTTTGCTTGTTCTTTTTAATTTTTATAGATTTTTTTTGCAGAATTTTGTTAAACTTGACGTTATACTTTTGTTATTTTATTATGAACAGTATGCATGTACAAACATGTATATAAGGCAAACGAGCATTTGGCAGTTATTTTCGTTAGTTGTTTGTTACTATAAATTGAAAATGCTTTGAAGTTCCGAGTTGTTCTCAAAATTACCTAATGGAGCAAATGTTTTTCATTGGCTAGTTAATCTAAATTAAAGATTTATATAAACATATTCGACAGTTATCTCATTCTCAGAAAAAAATCTAGCAATAGCTGTAGTCATAAATTGTCTTAATCATAACTTTCTACACTGTAAAATGTCTTCCTTAAGACAGTCAACGCGACAAGAGTCGCATTTTCTGGTACAATATTTGTGTGATTTCAGTTGTAAAAATATTGGTATGTGGACGAATAGTTTTGTGGACGTTTATAACAAAAATATTAAAAACAACAACAAAAACAGGTACAGCTGTAATTATTTTTATTTCAAATTCCGTTCAAATAATTTAACGTATAATAACATTTAAGGAGACGATTGTGGTCAATTTTCAAGTCATTGTGTAAAAAAGATGACGTTAAAAAATAATAAAACGTCTAATATGTTTGGAGCAACTGACCATGGCGTTCCCCCGCGGGAAACGGGTGACTGATTTTATCGATAAATGAAGAACGGTCGTCAGAATTTTGTCCATGGTGGAAACAACTGAACACCGGGGATCGCGGGGAAATTAGGCTTCTCATCGCGGACGAACCCCCGCGTTTGTCCGCGATAAAAAAATATCGTCCGCGGTAGTATCGCAGAAAAAGCAAAACCCGCGGTGAGCGTACTGTATGTCCATAAGGATATGAAAACTACGTAATTTAACGTTTGTTTCTTTCGAATATTTCGCTAGTTGTAGCTTAACAATGTATGACCTTGTTAAAATGTTACATTTGCATAATTTGATATAAAATTAGAAAGTCATAGTTATGATAGTTATCTGTCACAAAAGCAGCATAAGATCCTGTTTCAGATAACAAAATAATTATTAGGGCTATCAACATGTACATAGGCTATAAATTGTGTATTGACTTAAAAGATAAGTGTGTAAGCAAAGCCCACATATAAAGCACTTTGCAATTGCAACTGTTTTCCGTCTATTTTCTGGTAATTGAACGTCGAGTATATCCGATCGGGCAACTTTGTACATAGACGACACAACTTTTCTAACCACTCGGCTCAGCTGGGCCTACGAGGAAGAGATTTAGGGTACGTGAGACCCTAGCTAGGCAATGATAACTTGAAAATTAGGCCCTTTCTTGTCATTCGGGCTTACCTGCATCAAAGTTTTCTCAAGTTTTTGTACTTAAAGGTGATCTTTGGTCGTGTTTAAAGTTATATCTTTTGCTAAAACTCTGTGGATTATGCACATATGTATAAAAATCACCGTTTTTCTTTTCCAAATTAAACCGTGCATCACTGGTGACATGTCCGGGGTTGCGTACTTGACAGCGAAATCTGTTTTTGTGCACTCCGGGCGGATGGACCCTCATTAATCATAGATACCATTCATTGATTCTAATCGTACAACATTTGAAACTAAGATGAACGAACTATATTTTCACATCACTGTCATTCTGATGCTTTATATTATCAGGTTGGGCTGGATGTTTCATGACAGCACATCGTTGTTTCCTTCCTTATACCTTTCCGAATCAAGGACTCACGCCGATAGATACGATTATGTTTGTGGCGAGCTGAAAGAAGCTCTTCGAGTGAAGAAAAACTATGGGAGTGAATATTTACCATTAATTGTTCCTTATTCTACGTATTTTTACAGAGGAGGGCAACAGAAATTCTATGATCTGGCAAGTCATTTTTGTTGTCACTAATATATTTGATCCTTTTAATTGTGCTTAAAAGAACGGCGAAGGGGAGCGGTGTCCTAGTATGGTTAAGGTGTCTACCTCTCAACCAAGGGAGCATGGGTTAGAACCCTACTCGGGCCACGATCATGTTTCTTCATATGACACCAGTGCTCGTTGGTTCCAGGAAGCGGACTCGAAAGTGATTGCAAGAACTTGTTACGCAATCGAGCTTAAAAGACATAACTGCATGACATCAGATGACATCACCATAGTTATCGCACGTCATTATAGAACCAACTTGGTGCTCTTTTAGTTTGAACTCAATAATTACGTTTGCGACGATAATTACAATATGTTTAATATGATAATGTTGATGATATATAAAACTGATGATGTACATTGCTGATGAGCCAATCGGTTGTTCGGTAGGTTTGTTGAAAATCTATCAATCAATCAATGATAAATAGAAAATTACATAAAAAGACATATCAATAATAAATCGATAAATATTATTTTTTCTGTCACTTTCAGGGAGACCTTAACAACACAATTCAGCAAGTAGCGGAAGCTGGTCTAAATGGTATTGCATTGTGGGGTAGTTCATCTTGGTTTAGAAATGCAAGTGACTGCACACGTTTGCGAGATTACCTAGACTCCACCCTTGGCCCTTTTATAAAAAATGTCACGATCAAAGCATGGAAATGCAGCAAGGAACTTTGCAATTCACACGGAAGATGCTACAAAACTGACTGGAATTATAAATCCAAAACGTCAGATACTCTTTTATTTGAATCTTCTTCAAATGGACTCTTTAGAGAAATGATTGAGAATCTTATGAGCACACTATCAAATGCATTTCGAAGAATGAAAAAGGTAGTTGGTTATATAACCCTCGAGGGCATCAACCAAGAGGCCCTCCGTGAGAAATATCCAGGATTCTCGTGTTACTGTTTCCAGGGTTGGAAAGGACAGTTTTGCAAAGAAAAACAGTTTTGGTCTTAAGTTTAAAGTTCAGATGATTCTTACTTATAAAATGAAATCCTTATAACAAGAAAGACAAAACCTGTTTTTAGAAATACCGGTATTATAACCGATACCTACAATGACCGTACATAACGTTTTCAATTCCATCGTTAAAATTGTTTTTCCCCACCTGATTTCGACTGTATGTATTGCTCGCGCATTTAGTTCCTATATACAGTGGCAATATATACCAGCAATCCAGAGACCCGTGGTTCGAGCCCCGGCTGTGGCCTGCCGATTTTTTCATGTGATTTTTTTCTGTGTACAGTAGCTTATATATAGAGACTTCAAAACGGGAGTAAATGCTCCTATGTCGTATGCTGCACTTTGTTTTCGTTCAATGTCATTTATACATACTCCAAATTTTCAATTGAAAGAACTACTTTTCCTGTAAGTATGTATCTCGTGTACTCAGTTTTGTTTTGTCTTCCTCCGCAGTGCTTCTGCTTATGCTAAAATGCTAAAAAGCTTCGACGTTGGGCTTATATATATTGTTAAATACACCAGATCTATATACAACGGATCTTTTGGCAGATTTAGATATTTATATAAAAAAAATCTTTATAAATTTAAACTTTACCAAAATAAGAAAAATAAATAAATCAAATAAAATGAAAATTAATAACAGACAGTGATCTTTACCGCATAGTAAATCACTTGATCTTTGTGATCATTTGATCTTTTATGAGAATTTTCATTTAATTCGTCATACAACTTTGATATTTCACATAATTATATATACCAAGTACAAGTAGATAATGACGAAAGAAAAAAAGTAAAATTTTACCAATTCATCGATTGAAAATTTCACTTTGTCTTCCTGTCCAATCCCACTTCAGCAATGCTGAGATTTTACTACAAATCTCAACACTGTATTACTGCATGGTTATCTTTAAAATTATACATATTTTTAGCTCGACTTTTAGAAGAATATGAAGAGCAATTGAACTCAACCTGATGTAGGCGTCACACTTTGGTTCAGTTTTTGCGTTTAATTTGGTATCTCAAAAGCTACTGAAGGGAATTAATTGAGAACATAATAGTAGGTCACAGTCCAAGGTCAATAACTTTAAAATGGATTTTGAAAGACTACATCATCCAAGCGTTTGTTTTACTACCAATTGCAAGTACTGAGATTAGTCGAGCGCACCGTCCTACCGGCAGCTCTTGTTATCATTAATTATAATTCTTGTAAAATTTTACCCACATGCTGCTTCTGATATCACTGATATTTTACAAAGCATATTGAAATTCTTAATACAAGATATTTAATTTGTCATTATAATTTAAATAAAATACATTTTCTATCGCATATGGAAATGCATAACTGTCATATGCATGTTTATGTTATAGAGGATGCTTTGGGATGAATAAAAACACTTTTTGAAAGTGTTTACAATAATGGGAAAGAGAGCTTATATTTTTTTAACTTGATGATTTCAGAGGCAATGTCAAATGATATTGTCTTAAGACATTAATATATTTCAAGGAGAAGAATTTTATGAGACTTAGTCTTCCGTTCTTATACTTTTCTTGAATTAAAAAAATGTTTGATTTGTATGTATATAAGTAAATGTATATATTTGGGAAATAAATATGTTTAAGCTGAAAACTAAATTTATATATCTTATTTATTCTTATACAGTTATTTTGGTTCATCCATATAGCTGGAGGACAACTGGCGAAAATGAAACAACACATTTTTTTATGAATTTAATTATGCAAGATAATACGTCAGTTTTACATATCAAATACTGTATACCAGATTGTGCAATTCATAATGTCTAAAGATGTATAGGCCTACCGATTAGAATATTTTTAAATTTACAATAATCTAGATTTATTTTTAATAATTCAAGCAAGACTTTACATGCTTATTGATCAAGCGCACGGCACGTCTTAGTTATGGATCACGTGCAAATGCAATTTAGATTGAACGGTACACACGTGAATGTTACGGTCTCCACCATACTACCGTTACGTAACGACGTTCCTTATCCGTTCATTTATAATTCCAACTACCGTGATAATGCATAAGTTACATTTACGTTAACGTCATCATCAGCATTTAACGTATTTTAACGTTATTTTTTAAATATGTGGAAATTTTTAGTCGTCACAACCGTTCTCCTCCTGCAATGTGATGGATTTACCGCCAAGAGTAAGTAACATAGAAATGTCATATTTTTCTTAAAAGGCACATTATGCCTCAGAAATCTAATTTCTTTATAATTCTTTAGAAAATAATTATTTAATGTCAGCATTAATTATTAATGTTTAAATAATGGATTTAGCGCATGTAAGATGTTTTTAAAAATGAAAGAGTAGCGCGTTAAAAGTTATGTGTCGTAAAGGTAACAAAATACATGTAGAAACAAAGTAGTATTATAAATACGAATTCACTATACTTAGCCGTAACTATTACCAACAGAACTAAAGATGCAAAAGATAGTTCATGTATATAGGAAATGAGTGTGGAAAAAGTTATAAGATACCAAAAAAACGAAAAACAAAAAAAAACAACAATTCATTTTTTTTAGAAATAAAATAAAAGCATTTCGAGGCATAATGGGCCTTTAAATAATTTCGCTTTGTTTTTTTTCTAGAGGAAAATATCTTATTTATAGTGGCTATCTGAAAATAGCAATAGAATTATTTCTTGCGAATTTACAAGAAACTATGCTTGTGAAATGATTATATCGTAAAGTTTCATATAATCATTTTGACATGTTAACGAACGTAATGTATACTGTATAATTTGCAAATGAGTTTATCATCTTATTTCACAAAATAAATGGGCCAATCATTTTAAATGTTCTCCATGTTTATAGATAAACTGAAGCCCACAGGAAGCTGTGTTAACAATGCAACTGGTAAGTGACACATTTCTTTCGAAAGAAAATCTTGTTTTCAAAATATAAAAACATATTCCGAAAAAACAACAAAAAAAAACAAAAAAAACAGCAAAACAAACAACAACATCGAAGGGATCATTTGATTCTATGTTGTTGGACAAGGTCATCATAATAACTGGTTTATTTTCTTTATAACATTGCAATGTGGGACTGACAATCCAGTTTGAGATGATTCAAAACAAATTATTTATTTTAAGCGCATCATCAATTTGCATTATAATTGCACTAGAGCAAGGCCCATAAACGTATCAATAGATTTGTTGAATAAATTTTATATGCAATTAAGATGGGTGTTTTCCTTACGTGCAAATAATTTGACACTTTTAGTGCTTATCAAGATGTTCTGTTTGATTCGAATGTTCATTAGTTTGCATCTTAATTGAAATGAAATTCCAGGAGTGCTATTTTCGGCAATTGTTTTAATTACAGCTAATGTATCAAATACGAACTTCACTATTTATCATAAGATTTTGCATATGGAATACTTGTTTGTTTCAAAACATGTTCTGTTTAATTTAGAATATCATAGTGACGATGAAAAAAGTAACTATATATTCAATGCGCGTGTTTGTGTCGATTAATTTTCACGCTGCGCAATATGATTTCAACGTGCCTATTTATAATGACATGAAAACTTCCTGCATTTTGTATAAATGTATTTAAGTGACAGATGTATATTGTCGCATCCATTACGAAACTTAAAGTTGCTATCTTCTAATTAAAGGAGTCTGTACATCCCAAATGCGATCTCATTTTCACAGTCTCGTTTCCGCAGCAACAATATTTATATCTTGTTATACTTTTGTGTTTATTATGATTATTTAAATGCTAAATAGCCAATGATATTTTATCTTATTTTATATAATTATGTTAATGTATCTATAGTTGAACTATTGTAAAATAATTATATGATTTTGCATTGTTGTGTTGTTATTATTTTTTAAGTAAATCATATTTTGACCATTACATCTTATATGAAGCACTACCACAAAATTGTGTACAAGGGTCCGATGACTAAAAACGTACAGCATACGGAAGTAAGTAGTGTTTGTAAAATGATTGGTCAACTTTAATTATTCAAATTTAATTAATAAGCTTTTAATAAAACCATTTGAGAGCAATTAATGTTTTGTAAAATATATTCTAATATCATTTTCAGGAGTCTGTCTCACATCAGGTTGTGTCATGGCAGGTCAGTAAAATCAGAACCAAAAAAATATAATATTTAATGTCCTGTAACACCTTGAATAAACACCCGACCTATTATATCGGTAGTGATACCAAATTCTGGAATATTCAATCCCTTGAAGATAACTGTAACGTTTACAGATTAAACAGAAATGAATAAAGCAACCACAAGCCTACTTATTATAGCGAACCAACTGAAAAAAGGTTATGGTCATTTATAAATTTTGAATAAATGTTATCAATAGTGCATTGTCATTTGTTTACTTGCAAATCAAATCTTTCTTGCTTTTTAAATGAAGATAATATAGTGATATTACATAATTATATGCGGTGATTTCAATGATACATGCTCCATTTCAGATAGTTTGACTCCAGGTTTTTGTGATCTGGAGGATAACAATGTTGTTAATCAAACATTGTATAAGCACGGTGAGGTGATTAGTTCTGCAAATTAAAGTTGCCACGTTATGAGTTATCACAAATAGCGCAGTTACTACATTTCTGAAACAAACACTATGAGCTTCAAGAGATGCACTTTGCACAGGAAAAGTTAAAGAAGAATTTGTTTGTACGTTAAGATATGTTAGTAAAAGAGCAAGTGTGAACAAAATATAATATGTTTAGAATATCTACCAAGAACACTTTTTATTTGCATGAACTATTGTTGTCAACGCTCCAAAAAAAACCTCTCAGACATATTCAAGTTTTATACACATTCAAGTTTATGCAAATGCTTTAAACTGAACCACATTTCAATAGTTACAAAAAAAAAAAATGAACAAAATGTGTTCACATATTTAACGTTCAAATTAAAATACAAATGTTACCTTTGAAATTTGTTCGGTGCCTGGCAAGAGTGACATTGTCATTGTTTATCTTAATGAGTTCATTATACATTACGCTTTTGTCCATGCTAAAAACAAGCAAGTGATCCAGAAATGCAATGGATATTAAATTTTATAGTTAGTTATGGGTTCCGACAAGGTTGCACTTTTTTCAGTATGCATTTTTTACACAAACCTTTAAGTTAAGTATTGTATATAATGCGTATGAAGTATTGTTTATAATGCGTATGGATCACTTTAGTTTGTTTAACTTCTCAATGCATTTTATATAACAATTCTTTGAAAGAAAATTATGATGTATTAAAATAAAAAATATATATGATCAAACTTCAGAGTATACCAAATGTAATTAGTTTACTGATTGTAAATAATTTTGTAGTTTGTTTTAGCATTAAATAAAGAAATTTATAACATCAAGATGAAAATAGTACATAATAAAATCTTGCAATGTAAATGATGTAAGACAAAACATGAATTATTTTGACTTACTTATTTTAGTATATACATCGTTGTATCTGTTTTAACAGTGTTTGATTGTTTACTTTATTTGCTAAAAATACCAAATGGAATTGTAACGTAGTAGTAATTATCCTTTGAAAAGATTTTTATAATTAAGAACTTTTTGTTAAAATATATTGTCTTTTAAATTTTGAAGAATTTGTATTAGGAAAGCCAAAATAGTATGCAAAAATTGATTCTAGCTGCACGAATGATGAATGCTATGGACACAAGCATAAACCCCTGCGATGATTTTTACCAATTTGCTTGCGGCCAATGGATAAAGAGGAATGTAATTCCAGAGGACAAAAGTTCTTTTGGGATATTTACAAAGTTGATAGAGGATACATCTGTAATCGTTAAGTGTAAGTTCTTTAAGGAACTGTGTTCTGCGAACATTGTCGTTCCTAATGGGATCTTTATTCTTAACATTATATACTCTGGTGCAATTAATCTTACTGCATTTCTTGATTGTTCTATTGCTTATATATAAAATTCTTCTTACAAAACATTTGTCATTTTATTTGAATTTTATACGTTTTAGTTATTGTCGGTTGGTTTAGATTAGAATTACATTTCTTTATCTGAAACTATTTGATGCATATCCTGTAAATTGTTCCAATGTTCGTGTACCAATTTAAGAGAGGAAACGTTGCACTAAAGTCCTGTTTAACTAAGTAGTGACTAACTGGAATGCCATTATGGTTGAATCACTATAAAATACATCTTTGTATATTGTTGAAACATTTGAAATCACGCTCAACAATTTGACATTTTTCATTTCATTTGCAGCTGTGCTGGAGGAGCCAAACATTTCTAGTGACCCTGAGGCCATCATAAAAGCAAGGGATTACTATAAAGCATGCATGAATGAAGGTAATTATATGTCGCCTTTTAAATACACATTTTGTAGTTTGAATTTTAAAGAAAAGTAGTAATAGAATTTCAAACAATTATGTTTTAAGTTCATCCCTTATTTTGCAGGAAAAATAGAGGAGCATGGATTAGGGTTTATGCAGCAATACCTTGCAGATCTCGGGGGTTGGCCGTTACTTGGTTCTAATGCCGGTGGAAAATGGATCTCGAGCCTATATAACCTTGAAGATTTGCTGGTTCGCGTAAGAAAAGAATCAAATTATATACCAATAGTTGATATTGGTGTTATTACGGACGACAAAACTCCAACGAAACATGTCCTGTATGTAAGTAACATTTTTTATGTATGCATGTAGAACTTGAAATCATAAAAATGGTAAGGAAAATAAATAAATTATTTATCTATACAGAAACATAGATTGTATTTTTCGAGCTCGCTTTAAAGCAAGTATATTTGGGAGCTGGCTAAATCGACTTTAATCCAAAGTACTATATACAAAGTATGTTATTGGACATTATTTCTGTCAAGTGCAATAAATTGTTTATATTTTTCTATCACCGTCAGTGTAAATATATCTTATAAGATCAATAGCATAGGGTATAACCAACCACATTTATAAGTAAGCTTGATATTTCATTTTTATAGCTTGATCAGCCAGACTTAGGAATGCCAGATCGAGATTATTACTTAAAGGGCAGAGACGATAGAACTTTGATGGCTTACCAGGCGATGATCAGGGATATTGGGATTGCATTCGGTGCTGATCCCGACACAGCTTCAACTGATGCGAGGTTTATTGTTGACATGGAAGTACAGCTTGCAAATGTACGATTATCTTCAGAGTCATAAACTGACGATATGTATATATTTTTTAAATCCTTAGGGAGATAGGTGACTCTACTGGATTTTTACTTTTGTTGTTCATGCTTTTTTAAAATTACTACGGCTTGCACATGTTTTGCGGAAATTGAATTTTAATCCTTGAATTCTTTGCTACATATCACACGTAGGTCTACTGCAGGTATGATCGGCAGATCTGGTCTTTGCAAATATCAACTTAAAATGGAAAAGTCCCATCTTGTTAGACTAAAAAGAAAAATTTGTTATGTGGTAAAAATGATATTATTTCAAAAATCATGTACGAATATTTTAAACCGTTTATGATTTTCTGAATTCCCCAAAATTGTTTTTTTCTGAATTAAACACGTTTTTAAACCCCACCCCAGCTATAACAGAAAGGGTTATTTTTTTAAAATTATCCTAAAAGAAACAACATTTAAAGTCAATATTTAAATTTTTTCAAATCCCCCCATCATGTTACGAGGCAAAATTTGATATTGTTTTCGTTTTGTAAAAGTTAATAATTTTTTTCTTTAGTTACAGTTCCCATAGAGAGAACTACGTGGCAGATGTCAACAAATGACCCCGGGAAAATTTGGGAGTAATTTACAGGGGTATGAAAATTTTTCCTTTTTCAGATATCTAAAGAAATTGGTTAAATTTGAAAAAATGAAGTTTTCAAATTGAACATGCTTGAAAAGATTACCAAAACTTTTGAAATATTTTTTTGAATACGGGTTTTGGGCCACTTATTGGGGAGATTTGTTGAATAGGCCCTTTTGGGGGAACAGTCTCTCCCTTTACGGCAATAATGTTTTCCCGGCTTAAATAAAATATTTTTAAAAATGAGCCTAAGAATTTAAAGAGATTATTCTGGAGGTAAGGGCCCCCATTTGTATTAAAAAAAAACTTATGTACCAACCGTTTTTATAGTTTATATTGTCCTCGAATGAAACAACATTTGTTATTTTCTTTTGCATTTACGATAAATCATCATTGAATTAAAATGTACTTATCATGAGATAAATGCGTATGTTAAGTGTCTTTTTCATAATGTCTGATTTTGCATCTTAAATAAATGTACCTGAACATGTCCAATTATTGTAAACATCAGATAGATCTGGGACGACTTATTCAAGAGACAATGCAGCACGTAGGACTGACACTAAACCAGTCTGAAACGGCAGTCGTTAGGGCGCCTGCCTTTTTCGAGAAAATTGGGACTCTTCTTGCTAGTTATTCACCAAGGTAATGTAGTTGTATGCCAATATCAGTTATGATCAAATTCTTGATGAAATTTTGTACATGTATATTCAATTCTGCTTTACTGTAAGTCCGAAGAAATGGAATCAGCTATATCTATATTCTGTCACTGTGTGCAGATTCGACATTGTTTAAAGTCCTTTTAATTTATTCATTAATTTGATCTGATATCTTGAATAGGTTCAATACCGGTATAGATCTATCAATATAATGCCAAGTAGGAGAGATGATGTTATTGATGTCATTGAATGAGGCTATTTACACTTTATTACGTAATGTCCCAATATATTGCATAATTGTTTCATTTTTTGCAGAGTGTTGGCTAATTATGTTTTGAGTAGACAAGTTATAGAGAAAACAATGTTTCTTCCTAAAGTAATCAGAAATATCAGGTTCAAATACATGGAGGTTTGTTTCTTTTTATATTTAAGCTGGAATAATTTCTTGAAAATGATAAAAATAAATCAGGCAACTTATATGCATGTTAAACAATTATACTGTTTAGCAAGGAAGTGTTGATGCGTTTATAAAACTGTTATACATGTAGATTAGAAATAAGTTGATACATTCTTAATGTATCTTTTGCCGGACTTACAAAGAATGACAAAGCGATTGACAATATCTTAAATGATCAATAAATAATGGGACGTAAACGAGGGATTTTGACAACTGTAACTGTGATATATTTTGCTCGGTAATTGCAAATGAAGTATAATGACAGTATAAGCAGCCTTTTCACAATTAAAGATAATGGGGTCTACCCTGAAAAATACCGACACCTCAAAGGTATAAAAGGCGACGTCACTTATTACTTGCTTTTGCGAGTATTTAGTTTTTATAAGTATAGATTACATATATTTCCGAAATATAAGTACTTTCAGAATTGTTTATCAGTAGTAACCTAAACGTAACCTAAACGAATTCGGGCGTATTGTTCGCAGCCTCAGAATGAAGATTTTTTTTTATTTAATTAGGCGTTATATGGGTCGGTAACTGAACCTCCTCGGTGGCAGACCTGCTCAGATCATGTTAAATACAGGCTACCAGAAGTTGTTGGTCGGCTTTTTGTCAAAGAGGCTTTTAAGAATGGATCAAGAACAGACGTATGTGGGTTGTTTTTGTTAAAGTATATATAGAAATATCTCAAATGGTCGTAAGGTATATTAGACTATATAGAAACATTTGTGACAGAAATTATCTAAATGTTTATAAACTGAATATTTAAACATTATTTATGCTTTAATTGAAAGGGAAACTATATATTGCTCGTTTCGTTTAGATTAAAACAGTTTCTTTCGAATGGAAATTTTAAAAGTGTAGCGCTTAGGAAAAGTGTTTCCAGAGTGCAATTAGTTTTCAGTGTTTTTTTAAAGACATTGGTAAAAAATATGTGAGTGAGCTACTGTTTGGCTTTGACAAAAGAAATTGCCAATCGAATGTTACACTACAACTAAAATAATTTGATCCTTAAAGACATAGGTATTTGTGGTAATTCAAAATTTGTCCAGTAAAATAGATTGTTTCTTTTTTTTATCCGACAGTGCTTTAACAACATATGTATTTTTAATAGTTTTATCTTTGCAGGTATTAGATTTAATAAGCAACCTCCGGACATCTTTTAAAGTTATGATTGGCAACTTAAAATGGATGGACAATGCAACAAAAGAGGTTGCTAAAGAAAAGGTAAGAGAATTAAATTAATGTCTTATTAAAATACATATTCAAAGAAATTATAACAGTTAGTGGCAGATAATGAAATATTCTCTTCACTTTCTTTTCATACGTTTCTATTTGTTGTTTCAGGTCGATCATATGACGTCAAGAATAGGATATTCGGACATAATTTACAACAATACTGCACTTAACGAACTGTACGTAAATGTAGGTTGGTCTTTACAGTCTGTTACAAAATTTGTTTATTTCATTTAATAATTTAACATTCGAATGAATAACTTTGTAGTTCATCACCTGTCTCAGCAACATTTGCATTTTGAAAGTATTCAGCGACTTTTCCAATCACAATACAGTTAGCAACATATCATGTCTTATGATGTTTTTACTTCGTATGGAGCGTTACAAGATGATTGGAAAAATATTTTTTATAACGACACCATAAAAGAAGAGAAATACGATACAATCATGTTCCTTTCTTTTATCCTTACAGTTTGATAGCATAATTTCAAATGGTGAATTGTATTAAAGAACACCAAACCGATCTCGCAATATAACAAACAAAAGAAGTAAAACGAGGGAAACAAGAAAGTTAGAAAAACGAAACATACAAAATAAGTACACAAGCATTTGTGTATTAGTTGAACATGTAACATTTGGAAACCTACTAAAGTGGTCCATAAAATAAATATATTTATTTCGATTTGATATGTTTATAATGTATAAATATATTTACAGTATACAATAACTAAAGATAATCCGATGAAAACACTTATAAACTTTGGTCAAGCTGCAGTCATAAGACAACTTCTAAATCTACGAAAAAATGTTAACAAAGAAAGGTAAAATCATTCGTTACTTAATAAAATAATGTATTAACTTGATATCCATCAACACGGTAAAGAACAAGGCAAATTTATTAAATTTTTGTCATCTGTAATCACACGTAAGGTGAAAAAATGACATGACTGTGTCTTGTAAATACTGACAAATATTCAACCCTATATTAAATGGACTTTTCTGCTTTACAATTTTGATAAAACCATTCATTTTATTTTTGGAAAAATTTAAAATTACATGTATATACTGACCAGTGGCTGATCTTGGTCTGCGCTGGTCGCATTCCAGTTGCCGCTAGCACGGATAGGAATCAGATAAGGCTGACAACATGATTTCAAAAGATAGACTCATATTTCCATAATAAAATAAACCAATGTTGTCTGCATACTGAATGTAAAGAAAATTGTGTGTTTTGTCGTAGAACAAAGTGTGACATTATATCAATACTATTTTTATTTGTATACAAATATTTTTGCTTACAATACAAAACATTTCTCTTAAAAGTTTATGTTCAGTGATGATTAACAATCAGTAAGATATATTCTAAATTAATTGCAAACTAGTATTAAACAAGATGTATTGTTTTGTAAGATTATGATGGTTTTATCAGCAGAGCCATGTTCTATATTGTCTTCTAGATGGCACATGTCTCCGGCCACAGTTAATGCCTACTATGAAATGGAAGCCAATCAAATAAGTATGCACGTCTTTATTCAGTGTCTTGTTATATAGATGTATAGTTTATAATATAATTATATAGATTTACTGGTGCGTATTATTAGAACGCCATAACAGTTTGATCTACCATTGTTATAATATTTCTTCTGTTGAATTTTATTTATATTTGGACAATATTGCCATGATGTCCTTTAAATAGCTATTGGTCAACGGTGGGACTTGCTTCAGTGAAAAAGGAGTTTGTCTCTTAACCCAGGGTTTGTGGTATTGGAGTCCGACTTGGGTCATGGCTAAGATTCGCTAAGATTACGTTTAGAAATTTGTTTGTAAAGCACCTTTTACATAATTAACCCTATTTTATCAAAAACATGTTTTGTATGATATCCAAACCTTATATAATTATACCTTGAAATAGTTTTTTTAATATACAGTTAGTGTAAAAATATATGTTCAATTTATTTTTAGCGTTTCCAGCAGCCATACTTCAACCACCATTCTATTCTTTTGATCAGCCAGCGTATGTTTGTTATTTTTTTAATGTTTAAAATTAAAAACTCAAAACATCGATCTTGTTACTTTTAAACGTGTACTTTTCAGTTTAAGACATACCCTTATTGCTGTTAACATACTTTGCCGAATTTAGAATCTGTAAAAGTTTTAAAGACTACATTTCAATTAAAATTAAAGTGGTCTTTTTTTACACCCATAGATGTTTAACACACTGATATCACTGAAAACAAAAATAAAAGAGAAATTCGATGGATTCAAAATTAATCATCTTTATTAAATTTCCCCATAACTTGTGCCGCATCAAAAAGTTGTGCAATATAATAAAAAATTAAGTGTTTTGAAGTTTAAAAAACGAGTTGATTTATTTCTTTAACTTATAAAGTTATATAAGTTACATATTTTACAGATATCTGAATTATGGTGGTATAGGCTATGTGATTGGACATGAAATAACACATGGTTTTGATGAAGTAGGTAGGTATATCAAAACAAATAATCTATTTATTGCAATAAGTTTTTAGCTTGGTATGAGTTAAAACAAATTAACTGAAGATAATTATATCACCAGCTAGTCTGTTATTACAGGGAGACATTACGACAAAGCTGGTGCTTTAAACAGTTGGTGGTCCGAAACAAATGCTGCAAATTTTAAAGCTCGGGCCCAGTGCTTCATGGACCAGTACAACAATTTTACCATTCAGGAAACGGGAAACTCGACAGTAAGTGAATCGTATACTAAATTATTCCAGTAATAACTGATGTAATGAAGTCAAGTGACAACTATAGATTTGTTGAGAATAGTGTCTCCCGCCTAAAAATAGCCTCTCCAGGAGCTTGTACAATATTGACTTTAAATCTAATTAATTTCAAACTGACTTGCTGCTTTTGTTAATAGGTAATATTGTCTCTTTCAATTCATGCCACATTGATCTTTTAATATTTCTTAGTGTATGTTATGTTTTTGTTCTGTCTGTGTGCAGATTTCAAGTTATTCGCATGTTCGTTAAAAATAATATGGTTATTTGTTCAGAAAAGATATCCGTTTCACAAATTTAAACTATTTAACCGGCTTGTCATAGGCTCATAGCATTCTTTTTTTATTACTTGAATCTGACCAGGACAGCAAACTGGTCATACAGTTCCCTAAGGTCAACTGAGAAAGCACTAGAAACAGATTAGGATGATTTTAAATCAAATTTCAGACACAAGAAAATTATTATTTCCTTTTATAAAAACAGGATTATATAGGCTTGCCTCAAACCTTCATGTATGTTTAACAACAAGTTGTTGGTTTCAGCTTACTTATTGTAAATATTCAAAGTTTGTTTTCGTTTGAGTGTCACAAAGTATTATCTGGTACAAGCCTTTTATAGCTTTGCTTTGTCTTACTTGTTATTTTTCTGCTAAAATATTTCTTTTATGTTTTCCGTAGTCTTAGCAATTATCTAATAATTCTTTGTTTAGGTTTGACTGTACAGCATTATCACCAACAAAAGCCTTAAAAATAGTTGAATTACCTAGGCCATTATAGTCGTAGTGTGTACAGGAACTTTCAAAACAGATAACATGCAGGCCGCTGTGGGACACTGTCTTACTACAAATTATGAGGCCGCAAGTTCAACCCTCTGACACCCCACTTAAATCAATGATGAAAATGTAAAGAATGATTTTCTTCAAATGGCAATGTATAAATTTAACGTTAAGAAATTAGTTGCTCCTTCTGCAATATGTTTCTTCTGTATATCCTGCAAAATTACGATAAGCGAATCATATATAATAAACAACATATTGATAATACACAACACCATCCTCGAAATCATTCAGTGATTGCTGCACTAAACATAACTCAATAAATAAGCCTAACACACTGAGCACTGTTATGCCATGATGATGACACATAGAGTTTATTGTACTAACATTTTGAATATGACTCACTAAGTCACTCACATAGTTACCGTTTCTCACTGAAGATTACTTCATAGTGATCAGTACTTATTTGAGCCAACTACTAAATTACTCTTGGTATTAGCTAACATATGAAACATTACACGCTGAGAACTACTTACACAGTGAACATCTATTACTGAAATTAAGTAACACAGTAAGCATGACAAACCAGTAGCTTTTACTATTTAAAAGTTATGACTAAGGTCATTTAAAAGTTATGACTAAGACCATTGAAAAGTTATGACTAAGACAATTTAAAACGTATGACTAACTGTCGTAGGAACTCGGATGATATGGCTATCGAAGGAATACAACAGAGTATACTCTTTTTTTTGGAAACTTGAATTTCTTATATAAGTTTATGAAGTCATTTGTTCTTCATTTTATACTGATACAAAACTTCTAAGACTTCAGGTATAAAGTCCCAGGGTGAGAACATAGCTGACAACGGCGGTATCAGACAAAGTTTTTACGTACGTACATATTTTAATCCCATAAAAAGTGTAAAGAATTGTATAGAATATTGTTAGATAACTTATTATTTTACAGTAATAATATCAACACTTTTGATATTCAATGAATAATAAAACTGTCTATATTACTGATGTCTTTCAATTATATAGTGCAAATAAATACACGTTAGTTTTCGTTAGGTCTGTATATATGTTGTTTAGAATCATTCATGATATCAATAGCAAGCATTTTTACACTAGTAACATTAATGATAAAGATTTTCTATGTGTTGCAGGCTTACCGTGAATGGGTAAGAACCAGTCGGAGAGGAAAAGAAGAAGAAAGTCTACCAGGGATGAACTACACACCAAATCAACTTTTCTTTCTTAATGCAGCACAGGTACGTTTTGCTCATAAGTCTTAGAAAACCTTTACATTCAACTTAAATTTGTTTTAATGAATACTTGGATTTTAATTTTGAAGGAAATTTAATGACTTTTTCAGAATTTAGATTTTCTGTTGGTAAGAAAGTTTAGCTCACAATTTTACAAAGTTTTCAAATTTTGATTTATTTCAATATTTTATTCATATATTCATGTTCTTATTGTGACGATAGTTCTTTGTAGACATAGTAGCCAATATAAACAATAAGATTGTGTTTCAAATGATCCATATTTTATCTCTTTCTTTATCAATATATCAAATAAAACAATGGATGAAATCATATTTGAGCTTATATACATCTTTGTGCGTTTTCTTTAACAGAAGCCAAAAGAAAACCTTTTTGGTACATTAAAGAAGATGATCATAAGATAATGTGCGTGTATGGCTTTGTTAAATATTAAGAGCTCTGTAAATTCTAATGTTAGGTTTAATTTTGATGTAAGTTCTAATTTTGGATTTGATTTCTGATATAATTTCTTTATTGTAATTTACAGATTTGGTGTGAGAAAATTAGAGATCATGCAAAGGTTGAGAGATTATTAACCGGTAGTCATGCAATAAATATGTTCAGGTAAATAAGTTGTATAATTTTAGAAATTGTTGTAATTTTCTGTCACCAAGAAAAGATAAAGGAACAATACAGAAGTTTGCTATCAATCTTAGTATGCTATCAATCTACAGCTATTTTTTTAAAATATGTATTAATTCTATTTATCAACCACTGCTGTACATGATCGTGCTCAGTCAAACCCACAAAGCAACAATTTACTTTTTCAAAATTCTGCTGGTTCTTGAAATGGACCTCAGCGTTATCGTCAAACAAGCAAAATTGAGTCGCATTATTGTTAGTTTCGGCTCCTCCCCTGTGTCCCTTTTGTTCATATGTTGTGCCACTATTCCTTGGTGAATATTGTTCAGTCGCCTGTTAAATGTGTTGCATTTTTGTTCGTATTTTGCGTATACACCTGTCTGTGTAATTCAGCCTACATGATCAGCTTTCAAAACTACATTCTTCTTTCTTCCGGCAAGAGATTTCTCGTGTAGGATATACACAGGATATACCTAGTTACATGATCATCGCTGTGTTAACCATATATATTGTTGTTTCTTCCTTGTGGCGTGTTGGGCTTTCTTTTATCTCTTTCTTTATCAATATATCAAATAAAACAATGGATGAAATCATATTTGAGCTTATATACATCTTTGTGCGTTTTCTTTAACAGAAGCCAAAAGAAAACCTTTTTGGTACATTAAAGAAGATGATCATAAGATAATGTGCGTGTATGGCTTTGTTAAATATTAAGAGCTCTGTAAATTCTAATGTTAGGTTTAATTTTGATGTAAGTTCTAATTTTGGATTTGATTTCTGATATAATTTCTTTATTGTAATTTACAGATTTGGTGTGAGAAAATTAGATATCATGCAAAGGTTGAGAGATTATTAACCGGTAGTCATGCAATAAATATGTTCAGGTAAATAAGTTGTATAATTTTAGAAACTGTTGTAATTTTCTGACACCAAGAAAAGATAAAGGAACAATACAGAAGTTTGCTATCAATCTAACTATGCTGTCAATCTACTGCTATTTTTAATATGTATTTATTCTATTATCAACCACTGCTGTACATGATCGTGTTCAGTCAAACCAAGCCGGCAACAATTTACTTTTTGTAAGTTTGTTTGTTAATGCAATGGGTCTGTTTTCACAAAGTCATTGTCAAACAAGCAACGTTTGAGCCGCATTTGTTTTATTTCGGCTCCTCCACTATGTCCCTTTGTTCATATTTGTGCTACTATTCCTTGTTGAATATTTTTCAGTCGCCTGTTAAATATGTTGCATTTTGTCCGTATTTTGCTTTTACACCTGTCTGTGTAATTCAGCCTACATGATCCGCTTTCAAAACTACGTTCTTCTTTGTTCCGGCAATAGATTTCTCGTGTAAGATGTACAAAGAATATACTTAGTTACATGGTCACCGCTGTAAAAACCATATATATTGTTGTTTCTTCCTTGTGACTTATCCTATTTTACATGTTTAAGTCTGCTTCAATCGTTACTTAGAGGCGCACGTGAAAACTCATAAAGCCCAAAAGGATATAAAACTTGAAAATCTTGCTAAGATCAACTTGTAACTTGGACAGTTAAAACAGAAAATGATGACAAAGAAGGTACTTTTAACCTTATGTTTTAATGGAATCTTTTTAAAAAAGTGCCATTATGTTGTCATTATGTTACACTGAAAAACTCTTTTTAAATATGTTTCACTTTATTTCATAACTATCAATTTACTTTTTATTCAGTCAATCTGCAATTATCATTATTTACTTTATTCTTCTAGGGTATACGGACCGTTACAGAATTTTGACGAGTTTTCTCATGCCTGGAACTGCTCCGCTGGATCTTTTATGAACCCGTCAAACAAATGCTCAGTTTGGTAGGAATTTAGAGAGCCAATACAGTAGCATTAGAATAATAGAAATTTATTTTTTACTAGATTATATGTCAATAAAATATAAAAAAATTTTGAACTAGTCTGTTAAATGTATAAAATATGTAGCAATACATGTGACACTAATGGTTTGATTTGTAAAAGCAAGAGGCAATAAAAGTAGCTGAATTATAAATTGGTGGTAAAACAAATGAACTTTGTGGTGATCTAAATGAATTAGACAACGTGTACCTTATGGTATGTAAACTTTATTATAAACTATGAAAATAAACGATTTATAAAGTGAACATGGATACTTTATAATCATGATGAAACAAACGGACATGTTGTATAGAGATGCTTTGATCTGAAATGTACATTCAAGTACCTCATTTTAAATTGATAAAAATCTTACTTCAGTATAGTTTTAGTTTTGATCTGAATTGTACATTCAAGTACCTCATTTTAAATTGATAAAAATCTTACTTTTAATAAGTATTTTAAATGCCTTTGCTTCAACAAATTATTTTGCTTAGATGTGGAAAAGCAAATGATGTGGAGTAAAGTCTTGCTATTTAAATATTCCCTGGTACTTCGTGAACAATGATTCACGGAATACCGATTAAAGCGGTGTTAGGGGGCCTGGTAAATTTTGATTCGCAAAATACCGCTTAAACCGGTGTTAGGGTGCCTGGTAAATGTTGATTCACAGAATACCGCTTAAACCTGTGTTAGGGGGCCTGGTAAATGTTGATTCACAGAATACCGCTTAAACAGGTGTTAGGGGGCCTGGTAAATGTTGATGAACAGAATACCGCTTAAACCGGTGTTAGGGGGCCTGGTAAATGTAGCATTTATAATCAGACTCAATCAAACCTAGACAGCGATATACTCACAACATTCGAGTGTTCTCCCTGTTTTCAATAATTTTGATTCCGTAACCAAATATTGTGTCCTGAATAAAAATGTACTATTATAGTAAAAATATTATATGAATAATTGAATATCTAATTGAATTTGCTTCATATAATTAAGTATTATTTCGACAAAACAAAATAGAGTATCAGATATTAATCTACATATACTGTTAACTACATAGATCTTATTCTATAAACATGAGTCTACTTGACAACCACTCTTTTTAAAGTGGAGGAGTTAAACGTTGAAAAATATCAAAACGTATGGATTACCACTCTTACATTTTTTTAAATAAAATAATAAAAAATCATTAGAAGATATCAATAATGAAATGCATCTATTGACCATTTTTATTCTTACGAACATACTGTTTGATATAATATAGTAAGTGCATATTTTAAATGAGACTAAGCCCTTGAGTGCTTAATCCAGATATAAGCACTATTTTAAATGAATAATGCCAACAAGCATACAACGTAACAGTGACAAATTCTTGTACTTTTCTTGCATATCAGACATGATTATTTACTCTTTACACCGGTGCCAGAACCTCATTACCGCCGTTAACAGTTACCCTCGAGCTAGATATTCCGGTCTGTACCGTCAGCCAGTATAAAATCCTTAAGGTCTTGATATTTATAAACGTGCGTCAAAACTAAAACACTGCTATATACGCATTTTGATTGTGTGAATATAACAGCATTACACATAATAACAGTGTCAATCACACTTAAGAAGCTGTAAATTCTATACATTTTTCTTTTTACACATAATTGAGATCATATCAACTTTAACAGTGTCTACTATGACATACTTTTGTGATAGTGAATACATACATAATCGTTTCTTAAGTGCTGCGAAATTAGTTCAAACAACCTTTTGTATGTGCATGTTCCAAAAAGAATTGTAACACTTTTTCGAAACATCTGTCTTTGTTTTATGTCTTCTATTGTTTTATACTAAATAACTTTTTGAATTCATATATTAAATCTTTGTAAATTTAATCCACTGACTCCAATATATACTTTCATTTAATTCATAAGCACAAATTCACAAATTTCCATTAACGATACAACAAAAACTGCCGCCATAATGATATTGATTGTCCGTTGGATAAGAGCAGTCCCGTGGTTAATATCTTTCAGCCAATCAGGTGACTTGTGAGTGAGTATTAGCAAAAATATAGCTACAAAGCACTGAAGAAGGAGAGAACTTAGCATTACACACAACAATAAGCTGTAATTCTTGTGATTGGTCCCTATATTCATCATTTGTTTAATTTGGGTTATTGTACCAAGAACGCTGGCAAAGGTCAATGAGCACAACAGTGTCGTCTGCTTCCAAAGAAACCAATCACGTGATATAGTCGATCTTGTACTTTTACTTGAATTGTGGTTCAAGTCATGCTGAAATGACATATTTGTGTATTGAGATCAATATTTTCTTTAATTCTTTTTGAGAATTGATGATAATTTTTGAAAAAAAACTATCGAGAAAATGGTAGATGACAAAATTTTGATTTGCTGTTATAAATTAAATTGAATTGAGATAAACGTGTGACACAATGCAAGTTTCAACAGCTACCGGAAGTTAAGCCTCAAGAGTCAATATTTGTATCGTTCTAAAACAACAACTTGAATTTCTTAAAATCATTATCTGTATTTAAATTTAGACTATATTTCATGGTTTTCATTTTTGACCTAAAGATATAATATAAAATATAATATAATATAAAATATAATTCTGTTTACTCAACTGTTTGTGTTGAAGTTTCTGTTACTCCATGAGGGTGTTTTGATCTTCGCCTGACGTCATCAGTTCGTCTATTTCTTGCAAAATCTGCTGCTTTTAACATAGATTCTTCTTCTATATCGTCATCCATTTTGTATCTGTTGATAAAATTTAAAATTACTTTAAAATAATACTGTCACGATATTAACATTATGTAGGTTAGCGAAACGTTACGCGTTCCACTGACATTTAGACCAAACAATTTTATGTAATTCAAATAAGCCATACAAGCGGAGAGGGTAATATTTATTTACTTAGAAAAGGACAGCGCTGGTAAAACACTAGTAACAAATTAAATACAAATACATCAATAATCAATATTATTATGTAAAAGAAGGAATCTCTTTATTGATTAAGCCTGATAAAGTGTTAAATAATGTTACGTAAACAAAGCGTTCAATTTCGATGCCACTTGGCGTGAGACCAAAGCAATTCCCTCTGGTTATAACTGCGCAGAAATTATACCAATTAGGACCTAATGACTGAACATGTGTTGAATTTCGCTTTCTGACATATTGCGATAGTAATAATCCTCCGGTAAAAAATAGCTTCGTACCTCAATAACAGAACAATGATGAAAACCTGAGGAATACCTGTGATAAAATAACAATTTACACGTGCAGTTATTTTACTCTTCGTGTACACCCATACCTAGAGCTATAAGAATGAAAATACAGTCTACGAGATACAGGTTCTAAAATGTGAAAAATGACTGGAAACTTCTTGATAGCAGAATCGACTCTAAAGTTAGGCCGTGCAGAATAAAAACAAGTATGAAATAGATATACAAGTAGAAAGATATTGCACAAAACTGTCAAGATACATAACAGCAAATAGATAAGTTAAGTTTTCACATTGATCATGTTATCTCTAGACATCTATTCTAACATTATTTTCTCAGGGAAATAACAAATGAATAAGAGGCATGTTAGTTTGTGGAGTATTATAAATGAATTATTAGTCTTTAGTAAAGATAATTATGTTAACGACAAGTTTTACAATTTAATTTACCCTAGCATTTAAATCATTGAAACAAAATCTTAAAATAGGTTCAACATGTGCGATAAATGTGAAATTTACTGAAAATAAAAGTTACCTTTGCAATTTTAGATTCTATCCATGAGTTATAACTTTCACTTGATCAACTAATCGATAGGAAAGCAATCCTGCATTATTGAATCAATACAAGAGTCTCAGATGCCAGTCTGTTATCCCAGTTTGTTTATATCATGCCAACTCTTTACAGTATAGAGTATTTCTCTACGCAGCTGGGAAAAAAAACGTCCCAGAACACAAGATTAATATTTTACATAGTGGTAAATAATAAACAACGAAGTAAAAACCTTGAAACAGACGCTGCAACAAGTTATACATACAATTTATCCGAGCGCTATTTTCACAAAGTTAGTACAGTCAGTGCGAGAAACGCTGCAAACAATTACGGGAAGTGAGGGCAAAATGAATCATAAAACCTACACAATATACTACTTACATTCCGTCTTGAGACAATATGTTTCGGTGATAGGTACTTCAATCAAAGCCAAAAAAGTTCAAGTATATAAGTTTCCTGTTTAATATAAGAGTGGCTGGCGCGGGGCTATTTTATTGGATGGCGTGGGGCTATTTCATATTTGTATGTACAAGATATGAAAACTTGAGGAAATTAATTCAAATATAACCGGAATAGGTGATTCATTGTGAAATATTTAATAAAAAAAACTTCTAGTTTCATTGATATCGCCTTATATATATCAGCTTTGAAACTAAACATTCATCAAAACACATATATACATATATATATCTTTAATATTTTTATTATTTTTTGCAGAGTGTTTCTCTTACAGACCTCTTTGAGAATCGAAAAGCAGCTAATCAATTTGATATTTCGTATTTCATTTCCGAAAATGAAATCATACCTCTTATCAAACTGTTATAATTTTCATATTTTAAATAAGTAATATTTTTTTCACAAAAATTAAATTTGGGGGGGGGGGGATTTTTACCATTACAACATTCATCTCATGATTATCATTCACCCTGTATATAAAAATTACATTTTGTTTGGGTTTTATGTCGCACTTACACAGTTTAAGTCATATGGCGACTTTCCAGCTTGGCGGAGGAAGTCCTCGGACCTCTCTGTGCATTATTTCAGGCACGAAAGGGCACCTCAGTACAAACCGACGTTCCGTACGCTAGCTGGACAGCTTCCTCCCATGAAAGTATTCTAAGTCCTTGACGTGATACGAATCGACAGCGGTAAGGAGGAAGAGGTTTCAAGTTAACGAACTTAACCACTCGGTCACGGACGCCCTAAATTTAAATTTTGCAACGAAATGATATGATGTGATGGAACTATAAGAATTTGTTGTTAATAACTATCAACTAATAACTTTACATACCACTTATACATTTAAAATACTTTGTTTTAGAAATGGTTGTTTGATACACTATTATAAAAGATCTGCAACAATCGAAGGTATTAATTCCTCATTGACATTGGCGGCACTTGGAAATCTCATATATTTAGTAAGGCTTTCAAAATTCCATTTGATGATAGACCAAAATAATTAACGCGGTTATAATTATGAAGAAATTATATGAATCAGGACCTATTCACTGGTCATGTATTGAAGTTCGTATTCCTATCTGATAAAGTAGTATTCCACATGTAGAAATAGTTTCGTACCTTAAAATAACAGAACGGTGATGAAAATCTCTGTAATACCTGTAATAAATAACTATTTACACATGCATTTTACTCTTTGTGTGCAAAGAAAATATTTGTAGCACAGTCAATGATTTACAGGTTCTAAGATTTGAATAATGATGTGAAAATAATTTATAGTAGAGTTGAATTTGAAGTCTAGGTTCTTAAATTTTAACAATAATTTGAAAATAGTTGATGGCAGAAGTCGAATCTTAACTGAAGACCCGAAGATTTATTGTTAAAGATAAATACACGCAGATGGACATTGAACAAAACTGTCAGAAATCACAAGTTATTACCAATTTATTACATGCTTTTCGGTGGTTTATAGAAATATATCAGTGAAATAAAACTGGTAATTTCACTGTTAGAAACAGTGAAATTATCACTTTGATAATTTCACTGTTTTGAATTTAAGCCCCTTACGTTGTTTCAGTGAAATACCAGCGTGCACAGTACTGGGTACCAACTTCATGACGTGACGTCGTAAATGACGTCACGTTGTATTATTATTTGGCGCGCTTTTCATTCAGTATTAGGTTTAATGTCTTTTTAAAACGTTTCTTTGCATGAAATAAAAAGAAAATTTGTTTAGTTTAGTGTAAGATCGAAATATATTTCACCTTGTGAACACCAAAAGTTCATATTTCACTCGTGGCTGCGCCACTCGTGAAATATACCTTTTGGTGCTCACTCGGTGAAATATATTCCGATCTTACACTGAACTAAACAAATATCCTCTATATCACGATTTGATTAGTAACTTATTTTTTTAACTACCCGCCCTTTCGATAGATTATATGAATTTGGAAAGATTAGCTTAAATGAAGTGTTAATCATGTAGTAAAACTATTGAGTTAACGAGATTTTAGTCCCACATTTTCAAATAACAGTATTAAAGCATTCCAACAAATCTTAAAACACTCTCAACTCGAACGTTATATGTGAATTACTGAAAAATATAGTTAAAATTTTATCCAGAAGTTATAAGTTTCACTTTATGAACGAATCGATAGGAATATGAAATCAGTACAAGTCTCAGATGCCTGTCTGTTATCCCAGTCTGTTTATATCATGCAAGCTCCATTGGGAATTTCCCTCTAGCATGTAGCACGCAAATGGTGCGGGGGGGGGGGGTGCGTCCCAGAAATCGAGATTATTATTTTTACATGGAAGTGAATAAGTAAACAACGATCTAAAACCTAAAGATAAATAATGACCCTGAAACAAATAAATATTTAATAGATTTGAGCGCTATTTTCACACAGTAAGTAAATGATCTTTGTGTCATTCAGAGCAGGATAGCACAAGGAATGAAACAATTATGGGATGTAAGTACTTAATTAATGAGTCATTTACAATAAACTTTACAATAGTCTACATTTGAGACAATATGTTTCTGTGAGAGATACTACAACTAAAGATAAATAATGATAATATGTTTAAAATATTCAATTTCCTGTTTAACTTGATGACGAGTAAACTAAATAATTTTTGAATGAAGATGTTAATTTACCCATAGCAAACTTTAAGCGTTCCCTTCATGTCGTTTTGGGTAGTGCAAGCTTTGAATACTAAATAATGCAATTTTACGTTTACATGCAAATACTTTATAGCTGTTATGTTGCATTTTAAACGGTGGCATGGCCGAGTGGTTAACGCGTAGGACTAGTAATCTAATGAACGCTGGCCGCATGGGTTCAAACCCAGTCAGGGGCAAGTCGTTGTTTCCTTGAGCAAGAATCTTTACACTTATTGCTCAGTACTGGCTGGTTCTAGGAACGTTATCTAAAGTGTATCTATAAGCTTATACCTTCCTACACAATCGAACTAAAATAAATTCTGTATAAACCAAACCAAACGGTGTTGTGAGACTAAATGTTTGAGAGCAAAATGAACCATCCTTCCATAAAATTTACAGATGTCCTTATTCGTCAGTCTTCAATTTGCATTCTTTGAATCTTATTTACATCTTTTTTTTTCGGCTATCAATGTTTTATCAATCATTTATCATGGAGCATGTTTTTAGATGTTATCAAAATAAGTATTGAAAAACATAACGATAAGAGAACTTTTAAAAGTAAACAAATCCAAAGTACGTTAACCTAGATTTAACAAATCACCCTGTTGACTGTAGAATGATAATGAAAGCGAGCTTATAATACAACATTTTATCTCTCCTGAACATTCATTTATATGAACTGTTATACAGGGTGATCAGGTGAAAAACGAGTTGACGGATTATGCTTGACACAGGTAAACATTGATTTAATAATAGTCATACATTGTAAATTCTATACATGGATCTGTTAAGGGAATTGCTGGTACAATAATAATCATATAAATACTGTTTTATGCTGTGTGACGCCTTTATTTATCTTTTTGAGAGTTAAGATCGATAAACGCTGTAAAATACTTGTCAGTTTTTGGGTTAAAGAAAACAGATTTTGTCAACGTTTAATCTTGTACATATTGTCAAAATTGATATTAGTTTTAAATTATGAAATTTTAATCACTAACATAATTGTTTAAACACGGAATTCTTAATCAGTGAACAAAAAGTATATTTAAGATATTCATCATCCTGGGTTCAAGGTCATCTGAATATAATGTACAAACATAGTGTATAGCCATATACCGGAAGTATTGAACTGTGTACGTATCAATAGGTTTATAAAGCACCGAAATAAAGATAGACTTCTGCTTTAAACATGCTGATTTCTTTCAGAATACATCCGATTTTAACTGAAAATAAAAACACTGATAGCAAGTAAATGTATGATGAATCCTTCTTTTCCTGCGTTCAATTGGATATTGGCGGAGTTTATTATTAGTCTAAATATTACACATATATTAAGTTGCCGTGTAAAAGTGACATAGCAGTTGGGTAACTAAAGAAACATATTGAAAAATGCCTTCGGGAGGTAAGTATATCTATTTCAATTCATGTTTTAAGTAGAAATTAAGTTATTCAATGGTTTATGAAAGCGAAAGCAATCGCTTTAAATAAAGCGACGAGCTTAAAGTTATGAAATTATGATTCCTTAGCTATAATATTAAATGAAAGCTTTAGACACAACGATTTTGTTATATACCTTACGAACCTAGCGTCCATAGATCTTATTGAAGGTCAAAGACTACTTATTTTCTTTGTATTCGAACTCGCCTTATTTAAAATCTATTTATTAATGTTTGTTTGTTTGTTTGTTTCATTTTACGCCTTTTCCCGACAGTTTTTCAGTCATACAGGCGGGTAGTTTCCTAACCATCATTCATTAATGAAATAATAATTCCATTGCAGGCAGGTTATCATTGACCAGGCGTATATGTATACTTGGTGGGATAACGTTGGTTATCTCGATTGTTGCCATAGCGATTGGTATTTTTTCCGTCTCCGTGACGGTAACGCAAGTGGAATTTCCTTTCACTGCCGGAGGTGCTATGATTGCAGGAATACCGGTATGTATCATCCGCATAGTTGACCCTCTTAAAGATCCTGTAACTCATTTTTTATGGTTTTATATCATAAATATAATGCTCAAATGAAGATTTATCAATATTGTATGTTCCAAAAAGCTTATTTGTACAGATTTTACTGAATTTACATTTAAGGGTTAATAAAGGGAGGTAATTTGAAATTTATTTTCTATAAAGTCTGAGACAAATTTTTCAATAAGAAATGAATGCATATATTTTTAAATAATTACATACAATGTGGTCAAATATTTGTAGTACATATTTTCCATATTCTTCGATGTTTGAAAATTGTTTTAGAAGCATAATTATATACATATATAAAATTTCTCTTAAGTGTGGTAACAACATTAATTGCAACATACGTACAGGATCTTTATAGAAAGTTATGTGTTGCTGCATATGAGTAGTTGAATTTATTGAAAGCGGACTAATCATTATCATTAATCACGCCAAAGGATTCCACCTTACAGTTGACATTTTCTGGCAAGGATCTTTTTTTTCACTACGAAATCTGCTATATTTTTTATATTATTTTACAGTATGGTTTTAACTCTTAAATAACTCCCTCATCATAGTCTTGTTATGACAGGTTTAAGTGAAGAAACAGTCTGGAACCAGATATTTGACGAGTTTATTGTTCTAAGGTGTTTTGTAATCGCATTGATATGACTGTACACGTGTGTAGACTATGTTATAGTTTCCTTGTTCATATATAACTACATAGTTATTTGAATCAATTATTGATTAATTGTTCCTTTTTGTATCGACTTAAAACTAAATAAGATATAATTGTTTAACTTTTTTCAGGTTTAACAATTATATTTTGGATAAACCTGAATTATAGATATGTTATGACTGTCCAGTCTGTGGTAGGTACCGATCTACGTCGTTTCACTTGAAGTGCTCCGAATGTTTTTGCTAAAGAAATTGCTTATTCAGGACGTTTTGGTTTAAACATTTTTTTAGCTCGATTGCGAAACAAGTTCTTGCAACTTATATTAATCACTTTCGAGTCCGCTCCCTGGAATCTACCAGTACTGGTGTCATATGAAGAAACATGTGAAGAAACATGGCCGTGACCTGAGTAGGGTCGAACCCATGATCTCTGGGTTGAGAGACAGACACGTTTTCAATTAAACTTACAATAAATCTTGATAATTTTTTATTATGTTGACTTTTTCAGGCATTATTTTTGTCGTGTTGTCCCATGGCTATGTATAGTGAAGACAAAAAGTCACGTGGAGGCAGCACGACAGGTTGTTTTGATTGTTGCGTAAGTAATATTTAATTCATTTACAAAATGTATTTTAAAAAAGATTTCTGAATTTTTTTAGGTAACATTTCAAATGGCGTATTTTCCTGTAATACATATATTTGGGTGGTTTTAAATAATAACCAATCGAAACCTTATTCAACGTCCAACCGGCAGCATATTACATGTTAAATAGAGTGTGTTCATGGGCGGAAACGGTTAAAGCAAACAACCGCCCACGCTCCTAGCATTAAAATTTTGTTAAATACGTAAAAATTCCAAGGCCATTTGGCAATTTTCGCGCTTTACTGTTTCATAAGTATTTCGATGCCCTATGTGCATAATTTGGCGTGAGTTGGTACCTTAGGTGATCATACATAAGATATATAGCTTGATAGCCTTATCGCATAAAAGAATTTAAAGGCCCTTTTTATATTCGAACCAAAAACAGACAGCGACACATGATAATCAAAGTCGGTATCTCTGAACTAAGCAATTGCGGAAACCGACTGCAGCTATAGATTAATTATTTTATGCTATATATATTTTCAGACATTACTAATGGTGGTCTGGTTTAGTATTACAATATTAGCTATCATTCTTGGGTTTGGACTCTCTGGTATATACGGCGTGGTAGCCTGTTCTAATCAAGAATTGAAGCTCAAAGGTAGTTATCGTAGTATATGTGGATTTGTCAACAAATAACTTAACTGAGTTTCCTTCGAGTTTTCCTTCTTTTCTTTGCATATTTTATCAAAATTTTGTTTGCGTTTTTATATAACCTTTAAAGCTGCACGCATCCAGATGAGCCAAAATATTTTAAGAAAATCAAAATTGAGAAAAGTGTACTGAAACTTTAAGAAACGTAAAAGCATTCAAGATCCAAGTTATATTGTACATGATATGTGCGGTTTAAGACTGATTTGTCAGTACTTTATCACCATATATCTACTGGGTTACTAACGCAGTAAGGGCTGTTCTTTGAATATGTTGACCACTTTTTGGTAATTTTCATGGATTGTAAGTGCCGATTGCAATATGTAAATTGCTTTATTTGTTCACCTCACAATATTTTACTTTTAAATACAATTCCAAAATTTTCATGAAAATTAACATGAATCTGGCGTGCTGCTTTAATTGTTGGACCATTTACGAAGTCTGTGATTCAAAGAACATTCGTGTATCTCCTTTTTGAATCTAACAGTATATAAATAACACATGGGTTTGTGGGTAACAGTAAAAATATCATCCCGAGGAAAATAACGTTACCCGAGGCGTAGCCGAACAAAAATACTGTGATGATCTGAAATTGTCAACTAAATCTAACTGTAACAAAAATAAACCAAGAGTAACAATAACTAAACTGTCCTTACCTTTTAAGTTTGAAGTACTTTCGGCTTACTTGATAGGTGTACAAAGCATTTTGAAGCTTAAGTAATTATGTCAGTCTCAGTTATTATACGTTAGTTTCATTAGTAGTTATGTCAGTTTTATTTTTTTTATTAGTAATTATGTCAGTTGCATTATGTTTGTACTTCTTGACTTAACTTATTTATTTTTCCTGCTTATGTTTTGTTTTCCAGCATGTTCCAGTGCTGCTGAATCCAAAATGGCAATTTCTATTGTGACAATAATTCTAACTTTAATCTTATTCATTTTATCATTGGCAATATTTTTCACGTGCTGTTGTAACGCTGCAAAGTTCGGCATGCCTTTATTGGCAAGTGCTGATTCTTACGGATATTACAACGACTCTATCGAACGACAGCGTTACTACAGCCGACACCAGGGAACATTATCTGAGGATAGAACGAATAACTTCCGCTCTCTGGCAGACAGTACAAATGTTGATGAAAATAACAGGACGATAAACGAGCCGTCTGCTCCAAATGCTAGTGATATCAGACAGCAATTCCCGGAAGCTTATGTGACAGAAGAAACCGGTCCAAGCCGCTCCGATAGGGTTGAAAGCCGGTATACTGATCCACCACCGTCATATGACGAAGTTATGAAGAAGGAACAGACCTTCGCTACACCTGTGTAGTATTAATGTTACTTATGAAATTCTTGTAAAACGTATGTAAAGAAGAAGCGCAAATTTAATGGGACTAAATTCACGTGACAAGAAAATAGTCTTTTTGAATTTATTTGAATATAAAGGGATAAAGTGTTTGAAACTATAAATGCATGTAAGAAAAGAAGCTCAAATAGAGAGTATGAAACTATTAATGCATGTAAGAAAAGAAGCTCAAATAGAGAGTATGAAACTATTAATGCATGTAAGAAAAGAAGCTCAAATAGAGAGTATGAAACTATTAATGCATGTAAGAAAAGAAGCTCAAATAGAGAGTAGGTACATTATATGGTCAGGGGAAACGCTGCAAATGAAAATGTGTTTGTTTGATAGTTATGTTTTACGGCGTTCCAACACAAAGTAGGTTATGTGCCGCCGAAACAAGAAAGATGCATTTGGTTAACCTAGGGTGTTAGAAACCAACAGCAACACCAGTGGTCAAAACCACCTCACCATTTGGAGCTAAGTGATGCAGGGACTCCACTAATTCGAACCCATTTAGTAGCCTCTTATAATCACGCAGGGATAAATGGTGGCTACGTACTGTTGCCTCAACCCCTCGGCCACAGGGGAATCAAATGAAAAAAGTAAGAGTTTAATGACAGAACATCATAAAAACTACTCTACGTACATTTTGTTTTTGAACAACCCGTTTCGTTATTACTTACTAGTATTTCTTTTGAGACAAATACATTCAAGTACATAATTTATCTGTTTAATATCTATAATCTGTTCTCTCTGAAACCTGTACTGACTCAGGGGAAAATAAATTCTGTTTTTATTTGATGACTTGTGTAATTGTGTGATTTTTTCATAAAGTTGTTATCACCATAGAGAAACTGTAAGCGTTCCCTTTATTGCCTTTCCTGATTGCATCTTTAAATACGCAATATTATTTATAGATCTAATATTGTATTTTAGTGATGTTTGTCGGACAAATATAGACAAATATTACCCTGAAAAATAACGCAGTTGTACGTAAATGTCTAAATTATGTCCTAATTTTATTATTTAATCTGAGGCGAATGAAGGTTTGGAAGCTATAAACTGGTGTATAATAATAATAATAATAATAATACTTAACACTATTACTGCTATTATTATTATTATTAATAAAAAAATTATAATAATAGTAGTAATAGTATTTATATTATTATTATTATCATTAATAATAATAATAATAGCAGTAATAGTAATAATATTATTATTATTATTAGATCTATTATTATCATTATTATTATTATTATCATTATTATCTTTATTCTAATTTGTGTTAAAATAATAATAATAATTAGATCTATTATTATTAATATCATTATTTTTATTATTTTATTTTGTTTTATGGTCATATTGATGATGATAATTATGATGATTATTAAGATCACCTTGTAAATAAATGACCACTCTTCGACAACCATTTATTGATTATAAAGAACAGACTTACCTCCAAATAAAGACCATTTGTCTATAAAGGACATGTTTGATTTCTCCAAAGAATGACCTTTATTCACAGGTTTGACTGCAATTATAATAACAATGATAATTGTAATAATGGCAATTATAAAAATATAAATACCAAATAATAGTGATTATAAATTTTTGTTGTTTTTTTTACATCTGATTTTAGTAAAGTCCTATCGATAACTGGTAGCTATAGTTTGTAATTAGAAATATATGCGAGTCCATTCAAAGTCTAAGGGATTTCAATATCCCAATACAAACTATTGGGATATTTGAATGGTCCATTCAAAGTCTAAGGGATTTCAATATCCCAATAGTTTGTATTGGGATATTGAAATCCCTTAGACTTTGAATGGACTCGCATATATTTCTAATTTTATACCAGGCAAATCCATATCAAACAAAAATTCTGCAGGTGAAAGGTAAATTGATCTCTTTAAGGCATTAGATGTTTGATTGACAATGTTTCAAAAGTCAATCAAAACTTTACATCATTAAACTTTATCATGACTTTATCTTGACACAAATACAAAAAAATAACCATCCCGTTTGAAAAATATTAATGATTTAGGTTGATCTTTTCTATATAAGTTATATAATACAACAACAACAACAACAACAACAACTATGTATCATCAGATAAACATGAGTTTTACTTATTTTATCTTAATCTTACTTAAAAAGTGGTTATAAAGATACAAACAAAACTACAGAAAGGCATATCTTTAAAAAAATGAGATCAATTAAAAAATTTATCTGTAAATTTATATGTAAAATATGTACTGCAAATATTTGTCCACATTATATGTATATTTTATAGAAAATAAAAATAACTTTCTTATTACATCCCTTTATTAATGTAATAGGATGGGTATTTACGGTGATCTAAGTTAACAGTTACTATCTTTCTTACTTATTGCATGGTTTATTACCATGAAAATGTAAAGTCGGTAATATCTTTACAAATAATGCTTTTTGAAACTTATAATATTAACAAATCTTCATTTGAGCAATATATTTATGATATAAAACCATAAAAAATTGAGTTACAGGGTCTTTTAACAAACGCCCTATCCTCATTGAAAATGAAATACTCTTCAGAAATGAGGTTCTTCTACTACCTTAAATGTTTTCAAACTCAAGTAATATTGGAGGTCATACCGATAAGAGAACCTTAACAAAGTAAACAAATACCGAGGTATTTCGACCGGTTAACTGAACAATTATCTAAATTTAGTAAAGGTCTATTTCAAAATCACCTAGAGTCCTTTTGCTGTTTGAACTTTCAGGAATATTCGTTTAAGTATTCTATAAACTATTGTATTTTATAAACAGATGAAAACGTGTGAATGACTGGATTATGTTTGTCACAGGTAAACTTATATATTCAACCCCATGACAATGTGATTTAGTGATCTGTGAGATAAAGTGCGTGTTGACATCAGCATGACGTCACGGTAATGCATGCGTGGCAACATAAATTTGTCTTTGTTGACAGGAACATTAAAAAAATAATAATCACGGACGTGCTAGAATCATGTACGAGTATTTGCGGTAGACATGTGTTCGAATTATCAAGGAAACACATTTTTAAATGGACATACCGGTGTCAAAAATTCGAAATTAACGTTAATCTCGTGATATGTTAATAATGCCATGTACTAGTATATGTTTCAATGTTGTTACAGAAAACGGTTTCATTTTTTTTCTCAATACAATGATTGAAATAAAGCACACATTGAAAAACATAGCCTACTCAAAATAAGCTCTATTCTACATATGCAATGTCTTTTAAAGTAGAGAGAAATAGAGAATCCCTAAAGAATACCCAAGCCACACAATTGAAAATGTTACAGGCTGTTTGATTGAGCCTGTTTATGTACTGTTCTGTTGGAAAGTGCAGTTACCGTCCACGCTTGAGCAGTATTCAACAATTTACATGAAATGGTAAAATTTGGAATTTGAAACATTCGCAGACAATATGTATATTAAAACACCCGCACTTATGAAAAATAGTGGTAAACCGGAAATAATCAACTTTGCTATTTCTTGCCCTTTGATTTGGGCTTTTGGAACAAGTTAAAAAAGTCAAAACTACATTGAAATAAAAACTTATGACTTATGCCTAAAACGTGCTTATATCTTTCATAAATTATCTGAATTTAGATGAATGAAGGATGAATACAAAGTGCCCAATGAGCTGTAATTTTCTGGTGTTTAAATGAAGTTGAAGATGCCTCATCAATTTTTCATTGCACCAATCTTTCATACACTGTATCTTTTATAATCTTAGAAAAGCTGTAAAAACTTTTAAAAAGATTTAGCAAAGGGAAAAAATGAGATTGTTATTTTTTGAAATGTTTGGTTGTGTTTTACGGCACACTTACACAGTTGACGTCACATCATTCACATGGTGACTTTCCAACTTTATTGGTGAGGAAGACTTCTGGTGTCCTTCCGTGCATTATTTCAGGTACGAACCGGCACCTGAATAGAACCACCGACGTTCCGTAAGCAAGCAAGAAAGCTATCTCACTTGCGGAAAGCTTCCTCCCTACCGGGATTCGAACATAGTGCGGTGTGGGGCCTTATGGTTTGAAGTTCACTCGGTCACGGACGTAACAAATTATCCGATGTAATGGTTCTATTAAAACAGTCAACGCTAGTGATACAAACTCATGAGCCTGACGTCACAATAAATCAAAAGTTTCCTTTATTCAGATAGTAAAAAATAGATATAAGTACTTTCCAATACATATAACATATTATATCAACTTCTAAAACATATTATATGAAATCAATATTATATACTATTGCAGAATTCGATGAAAGGATAAGATTGACCAGACGTATATGTATACTTGGTTGGATAATGCTGATTATCTCGATAGTTTCCATAGTGGTTGGTCTTGCATCCGTCTCAGTAACGGAATCACAAAGGGAATTTCCTTTCACTGCTGGCGGAGCAATGATTGCGGGAATACCGGTATGTATCGACCTTGTTGTCGGATATAAAAGAAAGTTAAACTTAATGAAAATTAAAAGACAAAAAGTGTTTTACTACGTTCACCTGAAAAGCTCAGTGGAGAGAACATCGGGTTAGTAATTCAGGGATAGCTTGTTCGATACTCGGGCGAGGCATAATTTATCCGTGACAATTGATCTCGGAAATTGGGTCAAGTAGTCATTAAATTTTGTCAAAATCCGATTGGAATTTCCTCCAACTGCATTTTTTCCCGATTTGATTTTTTTCCAATATTTAAAGGCGTTTTCCGAAGTTTTCATATAGACATATAAGCAAAATTAAAACTGTTCAATAGAATTATTTTAAACTTTGCATGTTATTAGAATATGATAACATATACATTTTAAACTGAAAAAAATGGGGTCACCCACCGTTCTCATTTTCGAGTTATGGTACATTTACATTTTACTTTTAGTTTAAACAGGTTTCACTCGAACCAGCATGAATTTCTGATATTTTATTTCACTCTCTGTGGTACCAATCTACGTCATCGTTTGAAACGCTTTGGTTTTTTGTACAGAAAATTGCCTGCTTAATTTGGAGGTATTTACGGTATTGTTTTCCAAATGAGCTTTTAAGTTTAAAGAAATGTTCATAAACTGCTTGTACATTTGTTATTTTTTAATGACATTGTTGTGTTGATTTTTCAGGCAATGATACTGTCGTGTTTTCCAATGAAAATTTATAGTGAGGACAAAAAATCACTCGGAGGCTACACGTCAGGTTGTTTTGAGTGTTGCGTACGTAATATAGATTATCTAAATGAATATTTCTTACCACTCGAAGGCATTAAAAATATATGCGTGGATTTTGTTGTTGTTGTTTTTTTTATTAGATTACATTGTTTTATAATTAAATTATAATAGGTTAATGGCACACCGACTATAAAACTCATATCGCGACTTTCAAATACTACTTCTGGAAATGCTACCTTACACGGGGGAATATTCAAAATCTCTTGCTGGTTTCGAACCGACAGTTCTGAATCTTAAGTGAAACAAATTCAGTAAAATACTAATATAAAAAACCCGGCCCAGGAGAACCCTTCAGAGGTCCGTACTCGCAGTGCCTGAGAGGGCGGAGGGACCCCCATGAAGCCTTGAATACTGAACCCTTCAGCTATAGTAAATTATGTATGCAATTTCAGACAATACTAATGGTGGTGTGGTTTAGTGTAACTGTATTAGCCATTACTTTAGGGTTTGGACTTTCTGGGATATATGGTGTCGTTGCATGTTCAAATGAAGAATTGAAGCTCGAAGGTAGTATGCCTGATATGTATAAACTTACAGTTTTGTTTAGTTAAAAGTATGCCCTGTCTCTACTTTAGAGGGTCAACGTGTTGGAGTTTCT